TCTTCAGTGAAATTATTTTTGGTGAATAGTAAGAAATATGTCTTTACTTTATGAAAGCTCTAGAAGAAAACAAGTGAGTGAGAGATTTTTTGAAGCCCTCCAACAATTGAATACTAATCTGTCTAATCAAGCTATTGAAAGTGACTCTTCTGCACAGGAATTTACAAATGCAGGGAGCTGAACATTGTAATGCCATGGATTTTTGCCCCATCAGAAATTTTACAAGCCAATTAAGGGCATGACATAGAGTAACAATTTTGACTTAGGTTAGTATTTTTATTTTATTTTATTTTTTTATTAATAAATTAACATTTTTTATAGGCAGTACATATCTGTTGCTTTTTTTTTTTATTCATATGTGCATACAAGGCTTGGTTCATTTCTCCCCCCTGCCCCCACCCCCTCCCTTACCACCCACTCCGCCCCCTCCCTCTCCCCCCCACCCCCTCAATACCCAGCAGAAACTATTTTGCCCTTATTTCTAATTTTGTTGTAGAGAGAGTATAAGCAATAATAGGAAGGAACAAGGGTTTTTGCTGGTTGAGATAAGGATAGCTATACAGGGCATTGACTCACATTGATTTCCTGTGCGTGGGTGTTACCTTCTAGGTTAATTCTTTTTGATCTCACCTTTTCTCTAGTTCCTGTTCCCCTTTTCCTATTGGCCTCAGTTGCTTTTAAGGTATCTGCTTTAGTTTCTCTGCGTTAATGGCAACAAATGCTAGCTAATTTTTTAGGTGTCTTATCTATCCTCACCCCTTCCTTGTGTGCTCTCGCTTTTGTCATGTGCTCATAGTCCAATCCCATTGTATTTCAGTAGGTATCTTCTAAAAGAGATCTTGAGTGAACTAAGTTTGGAAAACACTAGGTAGACAGATTTAAGCAGATTTCACCAAATTTTCCATTTGGTCATTCCACTGCCCAGTAACAGTTACTGCTGACTACTGTTTGCCCTTTCTTTCTTAGGAGTTGGCCCTCAGGCTCAGATTACACTGTAGTTCCTAGGCTTCCTTGCAGTAATATGGCCATAGTTTTTTTTACTGTTTTTTATCCTAATTCCAATGCATTCTGTATAGTATTTCCAATACCACTTGAACCCATCCAGTTAATACTTTAATCAAATCTGTAATGTACACAGAATATAAGTGGATGTGAAGGCCAAGATTGATTAGAAAAAAACCTTTTCTTTTTTAAAAATTAATACTGAATTTAGGAATTTTGATAGCAGTGCTCCCTATTTTCTTAGGTTTATTTTGTACTTACCATACATATAAATGTGTTTTTGCTTATCCTCATATTCATTTATTCTTTTATGGTGATAAAGTATAAGTAACAAAATCTGCCATTTTTAACTTTTAAGTATGTAGTTCAGTGGCATTAAATACATTGTGTGTGGCAGTCACCACTTTTCATTTTCAGAAGTTTTACATTATTTTTTATAATTTTTTTTTTTAAATACAGTACTGGGGTTTGAACACGGGGTCTCATGTTTGCTAGGCAGGCTCTTTACCACTTGAGCCATGTCCTAGTCCTTCACCCATTTACTTTTTCTTTTTACAAGAAAACCTTATTTTTGTCTATTGAGACAGGATCTCACTATGGATTCCAGGGTGGCCTTGAACTCATGCCTCTCCTGCCTCAGCCTCTTGAATGCTGGGACTTTAGGCCTATGCCCTCATGACTGGCTCCATTTACTCTTAACTGTATACCTTTTATCACTTTATTGAATCTGCCACTATACCTCATTCAGAAATAGATTTGGTATTTTTTTATTTTATCTTTTTGAGGTACTAGGGTTTGAACTCAGGACCTCATGCTTGCAAGGCAGACACTCTACCACTTGAGCCACTCTGCCAGCTAAATTTGTTATTGACTTAATCAGATACTAGGATATAATTTCTATTGGTCTCTAAATTTATATTCCTCCCCCCCCTTTAAAGAGTCATTTATTAGGGAAACAAAAGAATACCTCAAGGGTTAAAGTGGTTGGATAATATAAATGCTTTTTTGATAAAGTTGTATTTCATCCTAGCCTACTTACTTCTTTAATTATTGTATTAGTTTGTTTAGTGCCACTATAACAGAATACCACAGACTGGGTCATTTGTAATGAACAGAAGTTTATTTGGCTCACAGGTTTTGAGGCCTGGAAGTAACAAGATTAAAGGTCCACATCTGTTGAAGGCCTTCTGTCTGCATCATAACAACAGAAAGTGCCACATGGTGAGAAAGAGCTAGAGAGACTGAATCTACTTTTATAACAACTCCACTCCCACCATAATGAACCTATTCCTATTGTAATGTTATTAACCACCTCTTAAAGAGGTGAAGTTTGGCAAACTCCTAGGTTCAGTAGATTACTAGAGAAGTCAAAAGAGTTTTTAATATGATGTCTGTTATGTATCTCTGAAATGAGAATGTTATCTGAATTTATTAGTTCAGTGAGTAATTTTTAAGTGTGGGACATAATATAGTTTGGGAAATATTGATTGAATACTATCCGAAGGTTGAAAATAGGAACTTAGCATAATTTGGCATTTTAAAACTTTTTCAGGAATATTCTGTATACCTCTATCATTTTAGGTAATAATGAATCTTTTGTTTGTATTTATTTGGGGATATGGGGGAGAGGTGTCTGCCACAGGGATGGACAAATGTGTTCCTGTATAAGTAGCATAATATACTGAAAATCACATGACTTCTGGAGTCCTAGCTCTGCCATTTACTAAATAATATGATTCTTGCACAAATTACATACCTCTTAGGATTTTATTCTTCAAAAGAATGGGAATTAATTGTTCCTGCTTTGTAAGAATGATGGATTTGTGTGTGTTTGTAGAGAGTCTTCCTTCTTGGCCTTAAACCTCTACCCTAACATGATGAGCTAGATAGAAATTGAAACTCAAAACAGGCTTCTGTCAGTGGCTCTTGTACAATCAGCTTTTGTTAAGATTATATACATTGTCATTTCACACAACTTTAAAAATCTCATAACTTCCTAAAACAAACGATTTGTTTTACGTTCTTATTATAAGTTTTGGTTGTATCCTGTGACAGGCTGTGTATTGGCTTCACTTGTCTCTCTCTCTTTTTTTTTTCCTCTCTTTTTTTCTTCTGCAATTTGGGTTAAAGAAAGAGATTAATTTGAGGCAGTGTGTTCATTGAGAGATGGGGCAAAGGTCAGTGAACTGATGGGAAACACGAAGTACCTCTTAAAGCTTCTGTTTAGACATGGCACACATCATATTCCATTGGCCGAAAAAAATTTCATGGTCATCTGATGTCACTGGAATGGAGAAGATTTGGTTTTTTGTTTTGTTTTGTTTTTTGTACTTTATTTTATTTTACCGTTTTTACATTTAGTCACATATGTATACGTTGTTTGGGCCACCCATTCACCTGCCCAACCTGTTCCGCCCTCTTGTTCTCCAATTTTGTTGAAGAGAAAACATAAGAGATAATAAGACATAGCATTTTTGCTAGTTTGAGATAAGGATACCTATACAGAGAGATTACTAGCATTGCTTCCATGCACATGTGTATTAAAACCCACATTGGTTCATCTCTACCAGACCTCTTCACTACTTCCTAGTCCCCTTCCCATAGCAGTCTCGGCCAGTTTAAGATTACTATATTCGCTTCTCTTCAGTGAGCACATTAACCACATTCACGTTTTAGATTTCCTTCCCTTTCCCTATTCCTCCCGTGCTCATTTTCCCCTTAGTGTGTGACCCATGTCCGATAATATTACTGTATTTGTTTTAGGTCTGTAATCAGCATATGAGGGAGAATATGCGATTTTTTGGCCTTCTGAGCCTAACGTTGCTTACAATGATGTTCTCCAGTTCCATCCATTTACTTGCAAATGATAACATTTCATTCTTCTTTGTGGCTGAATAAAATTCCATTGTGTATAAATACCATATTTTCTTAATCCATTCATTGGTAATGGAGCATCTTTGCTATTTCCATAGCTTGGCTATTGTGAATAGTGCTACAGTAAACATGGGTGTGCAGGTGCCTTTGTAATAACCTGAGTCGCATTCCTTCAGGTACATCCCTAGGAGTCATATTGCTGGATCATATGGCAAATCTATATTTAGTTTTTTAAAAATCCTCCATATTGTTTTCCAAAGTGGTTGTACTAGCTTATATTCCCACCAGCAGTGTATGAAGGTTCCTTTTTCCCCCGCATCCTTGCCAATATTTGTTGTTGGTGTTTTTGATGGTAGCATTTGTAACAGGAGTGAGGTGGAATCTTAGTTTGGTTTTGATTTGCATTTCCTTTATGGCCAGGGATGGTGAGCATTTTTTCATGTGTTTTTTTGGTCATTTGGACTTCTTCCTTTGAAAAGTTCTGTTCAGTTGCCCACTTCTTTATTGGTTATTATTAAAGCTTCTGTTTAGATATGGCACACAAATTTCATGGTCATCTGATGTCAGTGGAATGGAGAAGTATTATGCTCTGAACCATATTATGTAGGTTGAGTATTGTTGAGTATTGGCAGTGTTATATACTGTTGTGTGTTACTAACAGGGATGCATTCTGAGTTCTGGAAAGTTCATCATTATGTGATTTTGTGTGTGTGTGAACACCATAGAATATACTTAACATGACTCTAGATGGTGTAGCCTGTTACATACTTGGGTGTGGTTCATAGGTGACCAAAACATTATGCCGTGCATAACCATAGTTTCTATTGTGTGTATACATTGTAACTCATATGGAAATGGTCAGGGCTGTATAATAATCTTAGTGGGGGAAGTGAGTAACTGGGAATAAACAACAAAGCAGTCTGCCTCAACATGGAAATAAACTATCATTTCTATACTTATAAATGCAAAAATGTACATTCTGAAGAATTCATTCTGTGTACTTTATCAGTATGTTTGCACTTAAGCATTTGAGCATACATTAGTGTACACAGATTAAAATAGTTTTCATTTTCAAGTAGGAACAGTATTAAGTTTGGCTTATTAATTTTTATTTTTTACTGCAGGTATACTAAAACAAGTCAAAGATTACATTAAACAGTGTAGTAAATGCCAGGAAAAACTAGATCGCTCCCGTCCAATATCAGATGCTTCAGAAATGTTGGAAGAATTGGGATTAGACCTTGAATCTGGAGAAGAAAGTAATGAATCAGAGGATGACCTGAGCAACTTTACTTCACTTCCAACTACAACCTCTAAGTCTTCAAAAAAGAAGCCAGTCTCCAAACATGAACTTGTATTTGTAAGTGTTGCTTTATATTCAACTTTAATGTTTTTAATTAGTATAATTGTATTTGCAGTCTTGGTGATTTTTTTTTTTTCCCCGAAACCACTAACACTGCTTTGACTATTGGTACTCATATTGAAGATTCAAGCAGGTCTCAGGCTGGCAGAGAGCACAGTAGTAGAGTAACTGCTTAGCTAGCATGAGGCCCTGAGTGCAAACCCCAGTACACCTCCCCGACCCCCACAAAAATATTTAAGTGGGTCTTTATGTCTGAAGTAGAGCTTATTGTATGAAACAAAGTGAGTCATGTACTCTGTTGTTATATAAGGTACAAATATGCTAATACTGCCCCTGTTGATTTTTGTTGCTAATTACTTCTCCCTTCTTTTGTAATAACATATTAGTATTGGCAGGCAGAATACTTTTCTGGAGCAGTCTGTGGGTCGTGCAGCAAGGTAAAATTACTCTGACTAGGTTTTAGATTGTTTTCTGGTTACTTTTGTTTGTAATTTTTTTTTATTTGCCTACATCAGATAGCAAGTATTGAGAAAAATATGTTTACTAGGTCAAGTAGAATAAACATAGCAGAAAATAGTGAGAAAAACATTTAAGTATACAGGTAACAAGGAAAGAGTAACAGGTTATTTCTTCATCCATTAAAAGGGAATAGATTGTATTATGGGAAGAAATACAAATGATATGCAATGTACCTCTTGATCTCAAACTTAATTTTGACAGGTTGACACAAAAGGAGTGGTAAAACGTTCTTCTCCAAAACATTGCCAGGCTGTCTTGAAACAGCTGAATGAACAGAGACTTTCCAACCAGTTCTGTGATGTTACTTTACTAATTGAAGGCGAGGAGTACAAAGCTCATAAATCTGTTTTGTCTGCTAATAGTGAATATTTTCGAGATCTTTTCATTGAGAAAGGAGCTATTTCCAGTCATGAGGCTGTGGTGGATCTTTCTGGTAAGAATTTTCTAGTACCCTTGCTTTTTGTTAATAAGTACATTCTAGAAGAGACATGTATGTATCTTCCAAATAGGATTTATGTTTAAATGGAGGCTCATTTATAGAAGCCTTCTATTTAAAAGGTCCTTCTTTTTTAGCAAGGTTTCAAAAAGAAGGACTTACTTCCTACTATTGCTTCTTAGATCAGACTGTTATTAGAGCAGAACAGTTATTTCTGGTATGAACTATTGAAAAACAGTTTGAGAGAAATCCACAACTACTACTCTCACTGAGTATGTTATTTAAAAATTATCTTCTTATATCTTCTTTTGTGGGACATTTGATTGTACATACAGTACTTTTGTAAGTCTTTTTGTTTTGTAAGATTAATTATTAGAACTCATTAGATCAAACTATCATTGTAGAAATATAAAAATGCCAGTTGAATATTTTTGTTTCTCCTCCTCTTCCTTCCCCTTCACTAGAGTTTACATACTGGCTATGAGTCAAATGAATGTTTTAAAAGAACTAAAGTAGGCAGCCTCATTTATACATTTTTTTCATAATATGCACTTGATATAACTTGCATTCTGACATTACTTTGTGAAATTTCATTTTCCCTTTCTTAGATAGTGGCTTAATCAGGTATATGAATACTTAACCTACAGATATTTTTCTACTTTATAATTCTTAATCTCTCCTAGGAAGATAAATACAATTTTTTTTTCCTTAGCAGTAGCTTTATGTTTGTTTAAAGCAGTTGTTTTCTATTAAGCACTCTACAAGGAACTAGCCTAGGCTCAGAATACAATGGTGAACAAAAATTTTTTGGAGCTCAGAGTTGCATTAGATTTTAGAGTAGTGGTATATATTTTTTCCCCTCATTTTAGTAACTATACCTTTTGCTGAGCCATTTGAATAATAAAAACTCATTGCAGGTGTATTCTTGATATAAATTTGCTTTGGATTTCCTCCCTATATTTCATGCATTCTGAAGCATAAAAAAGAGAAACCATGTAAGAGTTTTTTTTCCCTAGTTTTTCAGCAGCTTACAGCAAGTGAAACGTCTGACCTGAAATAACTACGGCACAGCATCCTAATACTTCAGCAAACTACCTCATTTGTTCTTTCCACATGCTTACTTTTATAATTGTCAGGCAAATGTGATGTATTGTGTACTTTATAAGTATTAAGTACATAAAGATTATAAAATATGTGTATGATACAATATATCTAAATGTGGTTAAAACATCATTTTAAGTTCTTTCATATTCACATTTATATTTTCATATACTCTTTTTTGCTTGAATCATCTTTTTGTGTGTTATCTTTAATTTTTTAAATTTTATTTTTGAATTAGCATGTATTAATGTTACTAGAGGATTTTCATTGTGATAGTTCTACACATGCATCCAGTGTATTTTAAATGAGTTCACTCTCTCTATTATATTCTATCATCCTCTTATTCCTTACCCCCTTTTTCAAACAGTAATATTGTCTCTTTAAAATTTCATAGTTTTTCCTTCACATTTAACTTTTTAAATCTATTTGGAATTTATTTTTGTTGCTGTAAGATAGGTGTTTAATTTGATTTTTCTCCTATATGGAATATTGCTTATCTCAGAAACATTTAGTGAAAACTCCATCTTCTTTCCATTCATCGAGTCTGTTTTATAACAGAATGTGTGTTCATTTATCTCATTCTGTGTTTGGAAATGATTCTAAGCTCTCTTCTATTTTATTGGTTGTCTCTTCCTGCACTTTTATCATTTGGTCTATTACTTTAAGATTGTAATAGTATGGAAAGTGTCCCATCTTATTATTCAGGTGGGTCTTAGCTATTTATAACTCTTTGCTCTTACATATAAACTCTAAAATTGGCTTGTTGATTTCCTACAAAAAGAAAATATGTTTTGATAAGGATTACATTGAGCTAATACAGTTGCAGGGATACATATGCAAAGGTCTTACACATATTTTACTAGATTTATTCCATTGTACTTATTCTTTTGGGTACTATTAGGATTTTTTTCCTTAAAATATTATAATTTCCATTTATTTTGATCCGTACTGACTTCATAAGTGGTAATATTTCTGGATTCCTCTAGTCATTTAGACGTGTAGCTATAGATTCATTGGGATTTTCTAATTAGACATATATTATCTGCTAATAGCAGTGGTTTTGTTTCCTTCCAGTCATTATATTTTGATTTGTTTTACTTGTTTTACAATGCTGGCCTATATCTCACAAAAACAAAACAAAACCAGAAATTAAGTAAAGATGGTGACACTTTACCATCTTTTTTTAAGGGTTCACTTAAGTCATTCCCAGGATACACATTAAAAAACAAACTCAGTTTCTTCTATATTATCATTCAATAATCGACACAGTGTTTTTTGACCTAATGTGTGGGTTCCCTCCTCCCCACCCCCCAGTGATGTAGGCAATCAATTCTGCAGTGGACACTAGCTGGATATATCTCTTAATTCAACTTAATTCTGATATCTATCTGGAGATAGCATCTTATCACACAAGTTAGGGCTCAGTCCTCAAAACTACCCCCTTTCCACTTAGGATGTCAGTCACAAGTTCCAGGTTATTTTACCTGTGTTTCTAACAGCTATAAATTTGAGTTCCTACAACCCCACCCCTTTGGGTTTAGTTAATTTACTAGATGAGCTCACAGAACTCAGGGAAACAATTGTGTTTGTTAGTTTATTATAAAGGATATTAGTAAGGATACCAGTGAACATCAGTTGAAGTGGGTGTACTGTGGTTTGAACTCTGGACCTTGCACTTGCTAGGCAGGCATTTTGCCACTTAGAGCCATGCCTTTAGTCCCCCACACTGAGATTAATACTCAACAGGGGCTCGGTGACTGACACACATAGAAACCAGTGCTATCGTATCGTTCTTCCAAAAAAGGAGAACTTTTTTTTTCTTTCTTTCAAGGAGATGGAAGACAAAACTCTTGTCTCCCCTATTGATTGGTAGTGAGGGAGTTTATGGAAAGGAAATGGAGGAGAAGGTGCTTGTTGGTTAGATGGCAAGAAGGGGGAGTTTTAGGGTTCTTTTGTGCAGCTTCAGGTCATCATGCCTCTTCACAGGTTTCCTGTTTCTTTTCAAGGAAAGTGGGGTTATGTTTTATATGAGCAGGGGATTTTGAGCTTGTGATGTCATTCAAGGATCATCCTCCTGATGAGCAGGTTTCTTTTGCCAATGCCCATTCTTGAAAAGCCAGTCATATATTTTTTTACAAATTTGTTTGTTTTAATTTGTTTGAATTCAAGGCTTCACTCTTGCAAAGGAGGCACTCTACCACTTGGGTCATGCCTTCAGTTACTTTGCTCTGGTTATTTTGGAGATAGGGTCTTGGGAACTATTTGCCTGGGCTGACCTTGAACCAAGATCCTTCCCATCTCAGTCTCTCAAGTAGCTAGGATTACAAACATGACCCACCCCATGCCCAGCAAGCATTTTGCTATTTAAGAAATTTATGTTCCCTGTGTTTAGCAGTTTCAAAACAGTTACTTTAAGATCAGATTGTTTCTTAAATCTGTAGTAAGAACTGTGACAAAAATTGTCTGAACCTACAGTGGACTTTGAGGGAAGATTTTTAACTACCATTGTGTAAAGTTTAATAGTTGTAGAGTTTTCTTTTTCTTTTTTCTTTTTGTTTCATTTTGAAACAGTGTCTTCCTATGTAACCTGGTTGGGGTCTCTGTCAGCTCAGCCTCTCAACTACTGGAATTACAAGTGTATGCTACTACACTGGGCTTCTTTATCCAGGTTTTCTATTTCATCTTCAGTAATTTATAGGAAGTCATATTTTTTAGGAATTTGTCCATTTCATTGAAAATTTCACATTTTTGGGGGGTGGGGTAGGGTGGGTACTATGGTTTGAACTCAGGGTGTATCATGTTTACTAGGCAGGCACTCTATCACTTGAGCCTTGCCCCAGCCCTAAATTTTCAAGTTTCTTGGCACAGATTTTTTTCATAATGTACTATTCTAAATGGTCTCCAATAGTTGTAGATATATATGTTTCATTTGTGTTAATAGTTATTTGTTCCTTTTCTGTCATTTTAAAATTCTTTCTTAATAGAAGCACACTGATTTTTTTTTTTTTTTTCTTTTTGGCAGCACTGGGCTTGAACTCAGGGCCTCACACTTGCTAGGCAGGCACCCTGCCACCTGAGCCACTCTGCCAGTTGAAGCATACTGATTTTAAGTCCTGTTAAAACAAAGTCGGTAAACTCCAACTTGTAGGCCAAATCTGGTCTGCTTTCTGTTTGTAAATAAGGTTTAATTGGAATACAGCGACACCTATTTATTTATATGTCATCTGTGGCGGCTTTTGAGTGCACAAGGACAGAATTGTTTTGGGGAAGGGAGCGGTACTGGTGTTTGAACTCAGAGCCTCATGCTTGCTAAGCAGGTGTTCTACCACTTGAACCACGCCCCCAGCCCTACAAGGACAGAATTGAATAGTTGCAGCATAAATCATGTGACTTACAAAACCTATGGTCTTTGCTATAATTCTTTCTTTAATTCCTTCCCTCCCCTCCACCCCCGCCTTATGCTTGCCAGGTAAGTGCTGCAGCACTTAAGCCAATTCTGCTATAATTTTTAAATGTTAAAAACCTAAATGTTAGCTGGATGTGGTGGGTCCTAGCTACTCAGGAGATAAGGAGAATCAGAATTTCTGCAATTTTTTTTTTTTTTTTTTTTTTTAGTGTACCTGTGTTTTGACCTGTTTTTGCCAGATGCCTGACTCTGGGGTTTCCATCAGACCAGATTCGTTTACTTGCCACCTTGGGAGTTCAATCAAAGAGATGAGTGGTAGTGAAGTAGGAAAAGAATTTATAATATGGCCCTACTGTGAAGAACAGAGGGAACAATGTCCTAACTCTTGTTTTGGGGGTACTGACAATAGCTCCAGGATTATCAGGGAAAGAACAAAAGTGAGGGGCAAGAAGTATGCATAGTCAAGTGGTCTTGGTCAAACTGTGGTCTTGGTTGATCATTATCTCATGTCTGATTTTGGAGGAGGTCCTGCTTGCACCAGGGGAGATGATTGCCTGCAGGGCTCACTGCCCCCTGGAACATGAGGTAAGCTGTAGAGGAGAAATGACTCAGTAAGAAAACAGGTTAGAGGGGGAAAAAAAGGGTCTTCCTTCTGGTTTAGGACAATGGCTGGAGTCTTCTAAGTATGGCTCCTGTGGCCTGAAACAGGATGTTGCTAAAGCTGGTGGTTGACAATCTGTTGATTAAGATGTCCTTGTAAGCCTGGTGCTGGTGGCTCATGACTGTAATCCTAGCTACTCAGGAAGCAGAGATCAGGTGGATCACAGTTCTAAGCCAGACCAGGCAAATAATTTGTAAGACTCTATCTTAACAAAAAAGGACTGGTAGAATGTCTCAAGGTATAGGCCCTGAGTTTAAACCCCAGTACCACCACAAAAAACAAAGATGTCCCTGTAGATCTTAAAAATACCTTATTCTTATTTTGGTTACTTTAGACTTGGTGAGGGGAGGAGAGAAATCAGGTAAATTTAGAGCTAATCAATCTTGTATTAACAATTTTTTTAGACAAACACTCCTTTTTTTTATTTTATCATTTTTACATTTAATTACATGTGTATACATTATTTGCCCCTCACGCTCCCACACACAGACACTCCTTAAGTGAGTAACATGTCTACGTGCAGAGATGAACAGGAAATTGATCCAAAGTTTAAATAGCAAAAGAACACAGATGCAGACTGGGGATGTGGCTGAAGTGGTAGCATGCTTGCGAGGCTCTGACTTTAAGCCCGAGTACTGGGGGAAAAGAAAAAGACCGATGCAAAAAGAAGGCACAGATGCCAAGCTTTTATCCTGGTATTAGTTATACATTGGACGTCTGCAGATCTAAGTGAAGAGTCTTAGCAAAATCAGCCTCTAAGTCCCTATTACACTGTTACATGAACTCAGATGTGGAATTTTCCACTTGTGATATCATACTGGCACTCAGAAAGTTTCAGATTTTGGATTTTGGAGTTTTAGATTAGATCCACCTGTATCTTTCACCCAAAGGAATTTTGGGATGAATTTGCTAGTAGATATAAAACTGGTAAACATGATCCTGCAGGGTAATATACTGAGCTTTGTGGTTATCTTTTCTATCCTGATAAATTTAACTGCTCATTTTTTTCAAAATTAACTTGCATAAACTATTATTTATGTTTGTAAAAATAGTCTAGTAAATAGAAGTCAATCAACAGGGCATGCTTAGCACTTTTCTTTGTGCATTAGCAAGTTTTGGCTAATTCTGTTTTGATACTCTTTCAAAGAACAAATACTGTTTATCTTGTTTTTTTAAAATTTGTTTTTCTTTTCTTTGAGACAGGGTCTTGCTTGGACCCCAGACAGCCTCCAACTTGCATTCCTCCCTTCCTCAGCCTTCTGAGTGCTGGGGCCACAGGCCTGTGACATAATGCCCAGCTCTGCTTCCTACTTTATTTTAGCAGTTTTTTTTCTTTTTGTCATAATTATGATGCTTAGCTCATTAATTTTCAGCCTTTCTTATTTTTTGGTGTAAACTTTCATTTTGCAGGGAGGATGCGTCTGGAGTTGGAACTCAGGGCTTCAGACTTGCAAAGCAAGTGCTCTACTGCTGGAGCCACACCTCCAGTCCATTTTGCTCTCATTATTTTGGTGGTGGGATCTTATGAACTATTTCCCTAATCTGGCCTTGAATTGCAAGTCTCATGATCTCATCCTCCCAAGTAGCTTGGATTACAGGTGTGAACCTCTGGCACCCAGCTGGTTTAAACTTCTTGACGAGCTGGGATATGGCTTATTAGTAGAGCACTTGCCTAGCATGTGTGAAACTGTGGGTTTGATTACTGACACGACATTAAAAAAAAATCTTTGAAGTTTTCATTGAAAACCTTGAGCTGCAAATTTCTCTAGTCTAAATATTGTAGATTTGTTGATACTTGCTTTTAATCCTACTTAATACTTTTTTAAAAATAGTCTGTTATTATAATTGTCACTTTGATTATAGATTGTGCATTTTCTGTTAGGTACAATATGTGGTATATTGTAGGTTAGATCAAGCTTACTAATTATTAATTCTCTTATTTATTGATTATTTTGTGTGCTTGATCTATCAGTTACTGAAGGAGGTGGTTTGGAACATTGGCTGATATAAGGCAAACTTGGTGATGCAACTCTATAATCTCAGCATTTGGGAGGCTAAGGCAAGTTCAAGGCCAGCCTGGGCTACATAGTGAAACCCTGTTTTAAAAAGAAAGAAAAAAGGAACATTAGTGTGATTCATTGATCTGTTTCTCATTAGAATTTCCTCAGTTTTTATGTGTCTTGAGGCCATGTATTACATGTACGTAATTTTGAAATTACTGTTCTACGATAAAACATTCTTTATCATTATGTGGTGACCTTCCTTATCTTTAGTAATGCTTTTTACTTTAAGCTTAGTTTTGGTTGCTGTTAATATAGTAGTGGGAACAATAGTTTGGTTTCTGTTTGCCTAGTAAGATTTTCTTCCACTTTTAGTTTTCAATGTTCTGTTGAAATGTCTCCTTAGACATCGTATTTCTGGATTTTTGTTTTTAATTTGATATGAATATTTTTGACTTCTAACATGGAAATTGTTGACATCATGAATAGGTAGATTGTTTTTCATTGGTGGAGAAAAATTTTCAGCCAAGAATTTTCTCTTCCTCATTCATTCTTTCTAACTTTCTGAATTCTAATGAGACAGACATTTTCACTTTATCTTCTGTATCTCTTAATTTATTGTTCATATTTTATTCATCCTTTTGTAGTTCTGGAGATTTATAGTTTCTTTATCAGTGTCTAATTTATTATTAAATTCATCTGTTGAGGGCCAGAAGTGAGGCTTAAGTGGTAGAGTACTGCCTAGCAAGCACAAAGCCCTGAGTTCAAACCCCAGTATCACCAAAAGTAAGTTTTTATCTATTTTGTGTTCTGTTTTTAGATACTCTGTTGTATCTTCCTTGGTGAACTACTTTTTATTACCTTTGGCTCTTTACTCTGCCATTCCTTTATTTCCAATATTTGATAGTGACATTACTTGAAATCTTTGCTGATTTGTGTTCTACCACTGAGCTACACATTGAGTGCTATACAGGTTCTTAATCATCTGTTCATGAAGGTAGAGTTAGAATTATCATTGTGTAGCATTTTTTTTCTGATTTTTTTTTAACTCACATGAATATTAAGAATTAAAAATGGCTTGTGAAAGTGAAATACTAAGAATCTAGGAAAGAAACTAACCTGTTCACCTATATAAAATAAAAATTTAATACTTTATATATATAGTAATTATTTCATTTCTTGGATCTAGAATAAACAAACTACAGTCTAAGGGCCAGTTTTCCCTTCCTACCCCTAAACCCCCTTTGTAAAGAAAGGTTTATATTTGTATCCATTGTGTACATCTGCTTTCTAGCTACAAAGTGTAAGCTGACTGGTTGTGGCAGGTACTTTATGACCTGCAGTATTTATAACTTGATTCTTTTCAGAAAAAATTTTGCTGACTGCTGCCTTAGATCTTGGTTTTTAATGTTTAGTTGTAGAACTCTTTGTTCAATCAAAATTTTATATGGACTACTATTAGAAAATACAGCTATACTTACTGAAGGGAGGTTAGGGGACAGGTTGGTCAACCCTACCTAGTCACCTGCCTCCCCTTTTTTTTCACCCCCCATTCTTCAGCAGCTGTTTCTTGAGGGGAGTTTGAGGAACCCCCAGGGTTCTAAGGAGTATAATGACTGCCTTACAACAACTCTTGAGGTAGTAAGTCTGATATTATTTTCTATATTAGGGATTGAGAGACTCAACTCACAGAAGACAGTTAGACAAGGTTTAATAAGCAGCCAGAACAGAAAGTAAATCCAGGGGTAATTAATTACAGAATAAATGGTAATAACTGCCATTTTATTATATTTTATCTTGTCATAATTCTATTAATTATTCCTATAGAGTGGTTTAGTGATGATTGACTTTTTGTCCCTCACCTTTCTTGTTTCATTATAGGTTTTTGTAAGGCAAGCTTCCTTCCTTTGCTGGAATTTGCCTATACTTCTGTACTAAGTTTTGACTTCTGTAGCATGGCTGATGTAGCCATCTTAGCTCGTCATCTTTTCATGTCAGAAGTTTTAGAAATTTGTGAAAGTGTACATAAACTAATGGAAGAGAAGCAGCTAACGGTATATAAGAAGGGTGAAGTACAAACAGTCGCATCTACTCAGGACTTACCAACACAGAGTAGAAGTACAGCACCTCCTGTGACTGGCAATGAGGGAACCACAAACACTTTATCTAGTGAACTTGGGGGTTGTGAAATTGTACTACTGGTAAATGGAGAATTGCCAGAAGCTGGACAGAATGGAGAGTTAGGACGACGGCCTGAGCCCCAGGTTTCTTCAGAGGCTGAAGCTCCCCTGTCATCTATTGGATGTATAGCTGATTCTCATTCTGAAATGGAATCTGTTGATTTAGTAATGAAAAACAACCAGACAGAGCTAGAAACTTCAAACATCAGGGAAGATGGCACAGTTTCTAGTAGTTACCCTAAACTCTCAAAAGAGAATATAATCAATAACCCTCAAGAGGAGAGTGATATGGGAAATGATATATCAGCTGAGGATATCTGTACTGAAGACATTCCCAAACAAATGCAGAACCTTGGCCAACCTTTAAAAGATCAGGAAAATCTGGTTGCATCAACAGCAAATATAGATCCTGGTCCTGATGATGATACTTACAGAAGCAGGCTTCGGCAGCGGTCTGTTAATGAAGGGGGATATATCCGACTACACAAGGGCATGGAGAAAAAGCTACAGAAACGGAAAGCCATTCCCAAGTCAGCAGTTCAACAGGTATGATGTAAAAAGGGTAGTTCTTTGTAGTTTTATGTTTAGGTTGAAAGTATTGTAGTGATGAACTTAGGCCTATGATAAAAAGTTATTGGCGGTGGGGGTGGGGAGAGTGGATAAAGGGAAGCAGTTTAATCTTTGGAGTATCAATAAGATAATGTGAGTCTGAAATATTTCTATTAAAAATTTTGTAGTGACTCGTGACTTTAAAACCAAAATGAGTATATTTTCTTAGATTGTGTTTTCTGTCCTTTAACTAGGTGGCTCAGAAGTTAGTTCAAAGAGGGAAAAAGATGAAACAACCAAAAAGGGATGCTAAAGAGAACACTGAAGAAGCGTCCCATAAATGTGGGGACTGTGGAATGGTCTTTCAGAGACGATATGCCTTTATAATGCACACACTGAAACATGAAAGAGCTAGAGATTACAAATGTCCAGTAAGTATCTAAAAGCTAACTGAACATGACTGTAAACTCATAGAGTCCATCTTAACTGGTTAGTTTTTATTCTCACCACTGGCTGTAGAGAGTGGATTATGAGAAGCCTGTGAGAACTAGACATAAGCAAGGCGAGATGCAGCTCATCTGCTTTTCCTAAGATGTTTCTGTAGGCTGAGATCAGCACAGCCGTAGCTGCAAGAGAGGAAAATGCAGAACAGCTGCTTTTCCTAAATTGTTTATGTTCAGAGAAGCAGGAAAGAAGGTTCCTCTTGTTACAATGTCATGTCCCTCCCTGAGAACTGCTGCTCTACTGTATTTACCACTGGATATAAAACACTCTCTGAAGGAGGACGTGAGGCTTTTTGCTTTGGGCTTTTGGCCTTTTGATGTGGGAGGCTTTTGAAGGGAAAAGAATTGCTGAAGGGAAAGTGATGGAGGAAGATTGCTGAAGGAGGAAAATGAAGGGAGGACTGCTGAAGGCAAAAGAATTGCTGAAGGGGAATTGCTAGCAAGTCTGAGGGGCGAGACTTTAAGAAAGCTAAAGGGAGAACATGGGACAGTGCAAGTCTGGGCAAAGACTAAGAATATGCTAAAGAAAAGTTAAGAGAAAACATGGGGACAGTGCGAGTTTAAGGAAAGACTTTTAAAAAATAGTGAAACAAGATTTTAAAGAAGACTTTAGAAGCAAGGTTTTAAAGAACTGTAAAGGAGTAAGGTCTTAAAGAATAAAGATAGAGAAAAGAAGCAGAGTAAAATGAAGAGAATAATAGAAAAAAGAAGCAATGAGGGTTGTGCATCTCTACCTGAGCATCCAACACACCTGATCCCACTTTCTGTGTGTCTGTCTATCCTATGTCTTTTCAGAGTCTCCAGTAGCCCCCAGTTAGTCTCAGTTAGGTTCAGTAATAACCAGGGAGCGAGAGGAAAAAGCTCGCTCCAACTGGTGTCCTGTTTCTAGCTTTCCTATATTGCTATGATTCATTTTCTGGTTCTTAACATGTCATTTACTTACCCCCATCCCCAAATATTCAGTTAATTACCCGTGCTTCCTCCTGATACCCTGGTAAGACAACAGTAAAAAGATTGTAAATAAATAAAATATGAACTCATAAAGGACAAAGATAATAGCAGACAAAACCTTGGCAAATAGATTCTAGATGCTAATAAATAGATGGAGTAAGTGATTCGGTGAATTTGAAAGGAGTCATTTTAAGGTTTTCAGTACAGAAGACTAAAGAATCAATTCAAGTTGTACTGCAAAATCACCAAAAGACTTAGAAATTGGTGGTACTAGTTACCTTGACAGTTGAAGCAGTATTTTGAAATGTTTTGAATACTTTGAAAGTGTTACCTCCTAAACCCCCTTTTCTCAGGAAACTGTTGACAGGCTTCTTCCAGTAAAATAAGCAAGACATGGGAAATGGGAAGCATGAGTACAATTCAACAGAAAGTCTAAGGGATTCAACAAGACCATAGTGAAGGCAGATCCCAGGATGGAACTATGTACTAAGCAGAGAGCAGTCAGCCCAGGTTGGAATAGGACATAATGCTTTCACAGAAATTTCCAATAAGGTAGTGATGTGGATTTTTTGTTTTTGTTTTTTGATGATGTGTTTTAAATCTCTCAGACAATTCAGGGAAGTTGGTGATGAGTTAGTAGTAAATACAAAGAGAATAAGCAAAACAGTAAACAAAAAGCAAGGAGGAGAAAGGATCATAGTGTACCATGTGGCTCATCTTTGATGTGAATATTGAAATTGATGTTGAATCAGTTTGATTTAATTTCTCAAATGTAATATGTTACTATTTTTGGTGGAACTGGGTTTTGAACTCGGGGATTCACTTTTGCAAAGAAGGTGCTCTACTACTTGAGCCACAATGCCAGACCATTTTGCTCAGGTTGTTTTGGAGATAGAATCTCATGAACCATTTGCCCAGGCTGGCCTCAAACTACAATCCTACCAATTGCAGCCTTCCAAGTAGTTAGGATTACCAACATGAGCCACTGGCACATGACCATCTGATTAAAGTATAGTAATGGGAATATTTTATATTTGGGGAGTGGAGGATGAAGGAGAGGATCAACTTCTATTATGCTTGCTGCTTAGGGATACAAAATAAGCATCAAGATAGTAGAAGGAAAAAAGTTAATTCCAGAAGCAAAATAAGGAGCTCCTGGGTCAGGAGATAAGTTTCTGTATTTTTTTAAAAAAATTTTGTAGATGGTGAGCATACATAACTTTGATTTCTAAAAGAACAAAGACTTTCATAACTCTCTAGCATTAGTCTCCACCTTTCTACCTTTTCCCTTCTTCTGTTTCTGCTGTACCTAAAACTAACTATAGTGGTGATATTCTGTGTTCATGTGCCCTCCTTTTCTTTTTTCTTTTTTTTCTTTTTTGGTGGTGGTGCCCATGGGATCAAACCCAGACCCTCACACATGCTAGGCAAGGATGCTACCACTGAACTACACTCCCAGCCCTATTAATCCTTTAAGACCTAACTCGAGCCCAGTTTTCCTTCATTGCTCTGAGTATCCCTCCTTACCTTTTTACACAAAATTCCTGTGCTGTGGTTAAATTTTAAGCCTCTCTAGATTGGGATCTGAGTCTTACCTTTTTCATGTTTATGGTACCCACTAGCATATTGTCTTTTATATAATATATGTGTTTCTTGATGAATTAAAACCGAAATGCAGAGTTGAAATATGAGTCAAGTTTCACTTAGCATTTTGAAATGGAAATATATTTAGACAGTATTTTTACTTTTTCTTTTAGTTGTGTAAAAAACAGTTTCAGTACAGTGCCTCATTGCGAGCACATCTTATTCGACATACGAGAAAAGATGCACCCACTTCATCATCTTCCAATTCCACATCTAATGAGGCATCAGGAACATCATCTGAGAAGGGCAGAACCAAACGAGAATTTATATGTTCTATATGTGGAAGGACATTACCTAAATTGTATTCTCTTCGAATACATATGTTAAAACATACGGGTGTAAAGCCACATGCATGTCAGGTAAAGCCATAACACTTATTTTGTTAAAGAAGATTGGAACGTAACTATGGTGATGACACCAGTTGATAGCTATTCTGTAGTTACCCTCACTCTTATAAAAAGTCAAGGAAATTTATGTCTTCATTTTTTTTGCCTAGGTTAAGGGTGAGTCTTGATTGTAATCTAATTTGCTGTCTGCAATTTTAATTTGAAAGGAATCTGTTTAAGATGTTTATAAAATGTATAAGGGTCCAGAGGATCTGCTGGGTGAGAATAACCAATTTATCATCCTAATCATCCCATAGCCTTCAGTAGGATCAACCTAGTATGGAAAGGAACCAGTGACTTAAATCTTGGTCAGAAAAAGTCCTGCCTAAGCAGAGTTTTTGTCTCTGTTGCTGAGGGTGAAGGGTATCTAACATGTGATTCTTAGGTAAATCCTGTGATTAGCCAGCTTTGTGCTATTTGGAATAGTGAAAAGTTTCTAGTAGCACCTGTAGCCTTTCATATAAGCATTATCCACTGTTTTTATTATTAAACAATTTTGAAAGTAATGAGATTTTTTAATACTTCTGTTTTCTTAAGCTTTTAAATATGAGCATAAAGTGAGGTAAATCTTCATGTACCCTTCATCCAACTTTAATAATTACCAGCTCCAGAGCAATTTTGTTTTTTTCATATTGTCATTCATTTACTTAGTTTTGAAGCCAGGTCCTAAGAATGATTTATTCATAAATTTAAATACTAAATATTAGGTGGGTCTTCTAGAGAAGCACTACTCAAAATGTGTGGTCTGTGGAAAATAAGTACAAAAATAGAGAATGAGCATATAGAAACTCATAGTTGTTTAACATTGTTGCAGCATTATTATTGTGCTTAACAAAAATTCCTCCCTACTGAATGGGGGGAGGGGGAAAGGAAACCACAGAACGAAACACAAAACAACTCTCAAAACTCTTCATCTTAGAGTTTGAGAAGTATTCTGTTTGATGTAGCAGGAAATTAGTAGATTGTTCTTAATCAAGCTTGCCTGTCTCTTAAAATGCAAAGTATGCTGTTTACCATCTTCACAAGATTCTTTTTTCTGTCTGAATTCTTCTGACGGTCACATGGATTTAAGAAAGATTTTCCTTAAAAATCTTAAATCTTAAAAAACAGTATTTGTTAAGTATTGAGTCAGAGGAATCAATTAGCTAATATCTTAGGCATTTGTGGTTTCAGTTTTCATTTTGTCATTTTGCTTATAATTTTAGTTAAATTGAAATCAAATTATATTTTTTGTATTTCAGAAATCATTAATAGTACAAGAGCATTTCATTGTGAAAATTTCGTACATGCTTACCAGTACACTTTGAATAAATTCATCCTGTTATTTTAAATTCTTATTTATGTAAGAATATATAAATTATTTATATATTTAAAATAGTATATTTTGTGTTTTCTGTCCTCATTTAACACCCTATTTGTTTTACTGACTTAAACACTCCTATTCTGTCTTAGGTCTGTGGAAAAACTTTTATCTATAAGCATGGTCTAAAATTACATCAGAGTCTCCATCAGTCACAAAAGCAGTTCCAGTGTGAACTATGTGTTAAGTCATTTGTTACCAAACGGAGTCTTCAGGAACATATGAGTATTCACACAGGTAATGAGCAATTTATATCGACATAGCTGTATTTTATGTATTTTAATTTACTATTATAGCATTTGTGCTGCAGTCATATCAGAACATATTGAGATGCTATTAGTTGTATGTGTGTGTTTTTTTTTTATGAGACAGTAAAGTTAAAAGGTATTTTTTTAAATACAGTTTTAAAGCTGTCTTGTGTAGAAATGTTTATTTCTCTTAGTGTAGAAAAATGTGTGCTGGGCCAGGCATGGTGGTATGTAACTATAATCCCAGCTACTTGAGAGGCAGAGACAGAAGGATTGTGAGTTTGAGGGCAACCTGGGCACTTAATTAAAAAAAAAAAGTCAAGGGCAGTGGTTCATTGGTAGAATATTTGCCTAGCATGCACAGGCCCTGTGTTCAATCCCCAGTACTGCGAAAAAAAGAAAAAAAAAAGAATGTGTAGTAGCATTAGCTAAAATGAGAATAGAATGCATTATATGCATTATAAAAGAATGGGATAATTGTCATGTGCCCTTCACTCAGTGTCACTGATTATCAGCTTATGAAATGGTCATGCTTTTAAAAAATGTAGGCAGATATAAATGGCAGATGGCTTATAATTTTATCAGAATTTTCAGTCCACACATACATAGTTTCAAATGTACTTTAAAGCAAGAGTGTGGGAATGGCTAGGGAAGGATAGATACCTACTGCAGAACATTTATTCAATTCTCTTAATTATTACAATGATAGATTATGCAAGCATGTCATATTCTTTGGATAGTGCCCTTGCTAGTACAGTCATGCATTGCATAGTCATGGTTCAGCAGCTCAGTTTTCCCTGATACAGATATGTGTCACAGCAATGAAAATGCTAACACAGCCTTCCTTTTGTTGATCAGTGCTAAAGTTTTGAGAGGAAATAGAGATTTTGGCAAAGTTATTCTTAGAATGTTCTTGCCAACATAGTGATATTTCTTTTTTTTTGGCAGTACTGGGGTTTGAACTTAGGCCCTCACTTACTAAGCAGGTGCTCTATCACTTGAGCTACTCTGCCAGCCCTTACCAACATTATAAAACCCAGTAAAAACTTAATATAGGGAGAAGGGAGATGGTGAAAAGAAAGAGCACTAGGAGGAATTAATCTGATCAAAGTACAATATACGTATGTATGGAAATGCCACAGTGAAACACCCCTTTGTACAACTAATACACACTAATTAAAAATATGCACCCGTGGCTCATGCCTATAATCCTGGCTACTCAGGAGGCAGAGATCAGGAGCATTGTGGTTTGAAGCCAGCTCAGACATACAGTTCCATGAGATCCTATCTCAAAAAATCTCTTTGCAAAAAAAGGGCTGGCGGCGTGGCTCAAGGTGTAGGCCCTGAGTTCAAGCCCCAGTACCACAAAAAACCCAAAAAACTAAAATGTTGTTGTTTTCATGTTCCCTTGATAAGGTAACTTAAGGGATTCTTTTGGAAGAGAACCAACAGATTTGCAAAATGGTTTTTCATTTTCTTTTTTTATAGGAGAGTCCAAGTACTTTTGTTCAGTTTGTGGAAAGTCTTTTCACCGGGGCTCTGGACTCAGCAAGCACTTAAAAAAACACCAGCCAAAACCTGAGGTTCGAGGCTATCATTGTACTCAGTAAGTATTTAAAAGTGAAACATTCCTATATGATACAGAACTAAGACTTGAAAGTGCTTTAAGTGGGGTGAGGGAGGTGTTGAGGGGGAGAGACAATGGAGGCATTGTAAATAATGTATAATATAACTCTAATCGGAATTGTTACTATGAATTCCCCTACCCCTGTATAATGAATATATCCTAATGAAAAATTTATAAAAAAAAAATAAATAAAAGTGAAACATTCAGTCAATTTGATTATCTTTTTATTTGGTTTACTTAAAAGTTTTTACAAGAAAATAAACTTTAATTTCAGTTTATTCAGTACTAATCAATATTTTGCCTAGGTCTTGCTAGTTAACAATTTTACTGAGATCTGAACCATTACCACACACATCATGTGTGAAATGATTAAAAAAGATTTTCCAAATGTGCTACCTGAGGGTAGGGACTATTGGAAAGAAGGTTCCACAGACAGCCAGAGTTCCTTTTTAGACAGTTCTTCTGAAAGACTGGGCCATCTGCTAGTTTCCCCTTTTTCTTCCTTCTCTTTTTCTTTCTCCCACTCTTCATTTTCCAAAGCTACGTGGACACATTTTTTTATCACTGAGGTTAAATTCATATAATATAAAAATACTTTAAAGTGTATAATTCAGAAACTTTTAGTATATTCACAGTAGTGCACACACCACTGCTAATTCCAGAATTCCTCCACTTAACAACTCTGCCTTACCTTTCACTTCCTATTTGTGCAGGACAGCCAGAAATAAGCACAGGGCCTTTTCAGATCTTTTCTGAGCACCTGCTCAGCCCTGAGTAAGCATGTGCACGTGCACTTCTAGATTCCCAGAAGTCCTCATTCACCAAAGCATCTCAGACCCATATTTTTTATTTTTGTATTTCTAAAAAATTTTATTTCTTGCCCTGGCTGGAAGTGTCTAATGCTTTTATATGTAACAAATTCCCCATCCCCAACCCTTAGTCATAGGAGAGTTAAGATAAATTATAGCAAAAAGGGGCTCCTTTAGAGGGCTATCAGGTTAAAACAATCACAGATCTTCAAGAATGAATCCTCGGCTAGTGGAGAGTGCTTGTCTAACAAGCATGAAGCCCTGAGTTCAAACCCTAGTACTGCTTTAAAAAAAAAAAAAATTCAATCCCTCTAGTATTAGAAACCTATGTTGAAAATTCAGGCTGTTGTCTTCAAGGGTGCTGCTATCTATGCTCTGGGGATTAGAATATAGGGTCAGGATCAGTTAAAAATGCTGTAAAGTCTTAGATTTGATGATTTTTTTCTTGATTAAACATTTTTCTGGTCATTATACATTTTTGATTAGTTTCTAAACTTCCCAATGAAGTTGTTAGTTTGCCAGTTTATCCACAAATTTTGAGGAGGAATGGACTTTTAGCATTTCCTACTCTGCTATATTTGCTGATTTCACTCCAGCAAGTTTTATTTTAAAATAGAGAGGCTGGGTGTGGTGACCCAATGTTCAGGAAGCTGAGGTAGAAGAATTGCAAGTTTGAGGCCTGCTTGGGTAATAGTCTGTCAAACAGACACCACCAAACAAACAAACAGAAAACAAAGATAGCTTATTATCAATACATTTTTTGCTGTAAGCAAAAGAAAACCCCACCCAAACTGGCTTGAATGAGTGGTTTAATGTAAATTGGATTCAGATTGATTAGTACTTGGTTTCTCTTGGGTTCTCTATGCACAAGGTAATGGGCAGTGATTTAACCTTACATTCTCTCATCTTCCAAATTGTCAGGAATCTTTTTTGGTAATTCCTTTATAAGCCTTGAGGTTTTCTCTGATTAAATCAAGTTCAGTCATTTTGACATTCCTGAGTCAACCACTGTGGCCAATTGACTTAGGCCTGAATGAATCATCACTCCATCACTGGGGTCCAGGGTGAAGCCTACCTTCATCATACGGTCAGAGAAGGAAGGAGGTTGAATGTTATTTAAAAAAATGGATAACAGCAAAAGGGTAAATTCCCTCTATAATAACCTCTGGGAACTCTGCATGATTCTTTTTCATACGTTTCTAATGATCTAGAGCTAAAAGTACTTAAAAGCCCGCATTCTTGATGTAAGATTGGAAAATTTGGGAATTCTTCTGTTTTAAAATTGGAATGATCTTATGGAGTTTTAGAAACCTAAGAATATTCAGAGTTCTTGGAATCTTGTTTTAAAGATGATCTAGTTGGGTAATTAAACTTCATTGCAGATGTGAAAAAAGTTTTTTTGAAGCTAGAGATCTTCGCCAGCACATGAACAAACATCTCGGTGTGAAGCCATTCCAGTGCCAGTTTTGTGATAAGTGCTATAGTTGGAAGAAAGATTGGTATTCCCATGTGAAGTCCCATTCCGTCACTGAGCCTTACAGGTGAGTAAATAACACCAAGAATCTGAACTCAGTGAAACTCAATTGAGAAACTTACGTATTTGTGGATTCTTACGGCTGCTAATGCTTTGGATAAGATAGTTGGGGTCTCTTCCCTTACTTTAGGTGTAATATATGTGGCAAAGAATTTTATGAAAAAGCTTTGTTTAGAAGGCATGTAAAGAAAGCCACCCATGGGAAGAAAGGAAGAGCGAAGCAAAACTTGGAACGTGTGTGTGAACAGTGTGGAAGAAAATTCACTCAGCTGAGAGAATATAGGAGACATATGAACAACCATGAAGGTAACTTAATATTTATATATATATATATATATATATATATATATATATATGCATAGGAGTCAATCCGGTAGTATTTCTTCCCTTGTTAGCTTACTTGCCTATTACCTTACTTTCATTGATAGATTAATCCCGTGTCTTGAAAGATTTATTCAAGTGATGGAGGTGATAATTAAACCTTGAGAACATAATTATTTGTAAGGCTCTGATTCCTTATTCTAGGATTATGAGATTGTTGTGAAGGAATAATTGGATTATGGACAGAAACTCAAATTTGTCTATCAGAAACTAAAACATTGCCATAGTTCAGGGGAAAAAGGCATTTGGTACTATAGTTTAAAAACTGTATTCGCAAGCTTAATATATCTTTGTACTTGAACTTCATCCACACATACTTTTTTTTTTTTTTTTTGATAGGAGTTAAGCCATTTGAATGCTTAACGTGTGGAGTAGCTTGGGCTGATGCCCGATCTCTAAAACGTCATGTCCGAACACATACTGGTGAACGGCCCTATGTGTGTCCTGTGTGTAGTGAAGCCTACATAGATGCTCGGACACTTCGTAAACATATGACTAAATTCCATAGAGACTATGTCCCTTGCAAAATTATGCTGGAAAAAGACACTCTTCAGTTTCATAACCAAGGAACTCAAGTGGAACATGCTGTTAGCATCTTAACTGCAGATATGCAAGAGCAAGAAAGCAGTGGCCCTCAAGAACTTGAGACTGTAGTGGTGGCAGGAGAAACTGTGGAAGTTCTCGGAGCTGTTGCAGCTACTGAAGAGTGTCCATCAGTGTCTACACTTTCTGACCAAAGCATTATGCAAGTGGTTAATTACGTGTTGGCACAACAGCAAGGACAGAAGCTATCTGAAGTTGCAGAAGCTATTCAAACTGTTGAAGTAGAAGTGGCACATATTTCAGAAGCAGAATGAATATAGTAATGACAAAAAAAAAAAGAGACATCTCATGTACCTGAACTCACAGAACACTTGTTTACAGTTTTCACGTGACTATCCACTTTACAGTTTATATGTCAAGGCTCTGGGCTGTTGGTGACATTTCTAAACTCTCTGGCCAATGAGTTCTGTAGAAAGTCCTCTTACTGTAAAGAAATTGAAAACAAAATTCTATTTGACAGTGGTTTATCATGGTATGCCTTCTATGAATTAATGTTTATAAATATACTAAATGTAAAGCTGTACAATTTTCATTTGTATATTGATGTTATTTTGTTACATATTTTGAGTTTAAAAGATTGTACCAGTTGGCTTATTTTTTTGCTTTGTTTTGTTTTTTAACAGAGGTTCTGTGATTTCAGTTGCCCTGTTTGTGGATTAAAAAGAAAATTCTATTATAAAGCATTTCAGTAGGTTGCATAGGTGTATTATATTTTAAAAAATGCTTTAGATCTGTGATTCTTAATATTTATTTTAACCCCTTCCAAGTCAGGGGTTCCTTATCTGTTTTAAAGCACTTAATGAGTTAGACATTGTAATCAAGTTCACACCATATATATGGGGAAACCATAAGTAAATAGCTAACTTTTAAATGCCATTAAAATTGCATGAAATTCCTATTAAGGCCTGACTGTACTATCTCTTCAAGGCAAGTAATTGGCAATGAGAAAAGAGTGTTGTTGGGAAATTTCTGCTTGATAATATAGGACTATAAATGAAAAATTCTCATTCTTTTCCTGAAGAATGAACAAGTTAAGTTTGGTTATGTTTTTAGCTTTTGTATCATGTTTGTTGAAAAACTGTGGTTGCAACAGGATATCTGATAGAAATCCTGTGGATACAACTGTCAAATTTCAGAATATTGGAGTCTTCTATGCACCCCTCATTATATTACATGAAGAAATTAATTGATTATGGTCCTACCAAATTGTTGAAAATATTTTGAAAAGTTACCTAAAATTATATTAATCCATGTGTTTGATTTTTAGATTTCTGGCCTCTTTTAAGCTATCCAGTTTTCTCATTTTCAAAATAACCATGGGGAAATATACCACGTTTCTCTCTAGGAAACTACCATTCAAGCTATTATGGTTAAAATTGAGCTTTCCAATATTAGAAGCTGTTTGAAGGTATAAAATTAAGATGTAAGCAGATCAAATGTAAATCATTCCTAAAGCACAAGAAAAGAATGTGCCTTGTTGTATATATATTATTAAAACGCTTATTTCACTTTACTTTAAAAATGGCTTTAAGGATAAAGAACAAATGTGATAGCCATGCATGCATTGTACTTGCATATGTAATATTTGCATTTGCAAATTTTTCATTGTTTTAATAGCTGTGTGGCTTTCAATTTTAAGTGAATCTACATACAGCCCGTAACTTTATAATGGCTGCTTGTTTATTGTATCTTTCAGTTAGTGGAAAGTTTTCAATCTAAAATTTGAGACTGTTGTTTTGTGTTCCATTTTCACAATTATTAGATTTAGTTGTGTAAGACCAATTAATGTATGTCATAAATATGTAAATAAAAGATGTTGAATCTTGTTTAAAAGCATAAGCTTTGGAGTTAAGCTTATTTTCTTTTTGACAGTACTGGGATTTGCACTCACAGCCTCACTGTCAATCCATAAACCAGATAGTTTTATTTAATATATTTAAGGATAAGGGAACTTGTCTTTTTTTCCAAGCAAATCCTCTCATATAATGCTGCTTTACAACATAAGGGGGGGGTGGGTGCTGAACAGAATTCAAGAGTGAAGTAAAACTTTTCTCAGCCCAACTCCATGTCACTGTTTGCAGTTCTGTGACTTTCTCCCTATCCCCAATCCTACTGTTTAGTAATTGTACGAAGGCGCTTGTGATACTCCATACATGTATATAATGTACTTTGATCAAATTTACCACTTTGTCCCTTACCCTGTTTTAAAACTTTTAATGGGTTTCATTATTCTTTATGAATCATATTTACCCCTTCACCCTCACTCTCCTCCTTTATTATCCTCTTCGCCTCCAAAAAATGTCCTCTTGTAAAATTACTCTTAAATATAGTCCCTATCACAAAATTAAATGTACTGCAAATAAGTCAGTTTTGGGTAAGTTAAACTTCTATAAATTCTGCATGGTTTTACTGTTACCATATAAACATTATAATACCTATAATTCCTTTTTAAAAACACAAAGTGTTTTGTTTTCAGATGACTTCCAGAAACTGCAGATGTCTCCTCAGATGTTCAAATATGAGGGTTTTAAGAAACACCTACCTACTCATTACTGCTGCTTAACAATGTGAATCACCGTTAGTCACTGAAATGCATGTATTGCCAGGTATAGTAATCCTAGAACTTGGGGGGAGAGGAGGCAGGAGAAAGCATGATGAAAATAAGAGAATCATTTGGCAAACACTACACTAATAATTGTCTCAAGAAAGAATGATTGGAAAAAAAAGAGCCAATGGATGTCTGCTAATTAGTGGGCAAAATTATGAGAAACAGAATACTCAGTCTCAAGTATTTTTGAAGATAAAAAAATCACAAAAGGAAAAACTATAAAAACAGTAGCATGGAGAAATCTATGGCACTAAATGACATTATATCCGAAGTGAAAATTACTGATGGGACTGGGGATAGTCCAGTGGAAGACTGCTTGTGTGAGAACCTACGTTCAATTCCCAGCACTGTCAAAAACGAAAGAGCGTAACAGACTGATGTCATGTATTTGTTAATAATATGATGGACTAAGGACACATCAGTTCTGCAGTATTGTTCAAAACAGGTATTTTACAAATAACTGGCTGTATGTCTTAAAAATGTCCTGAGACAAACATTGACCAGTTTACTTGGGAGGCTATCTTGCCCGTTTGAGGCTAGCCTGAACAATCTTGTCAAGAGCCCATCTGAAAAAAACAGCCCAGTGCTGGTGGCTCATACCTATAATCCTAGCTGTATGTGAGGGTGAGATTGGGAGGATCACAGTTTGAGGCCAATTGGGCAGTTTGTGAGACCCCATTTCTAAAAACACCCATCCAAAATGGACTAGAAGTGTGGTTCAAGTGGTAGAGCACCTGCTTTGCCAAGTGCAAACCCCAGTCCTACCAAACAAAAAAAACCGATTTAGTTTAGTCATTGGTGGAACACTTGCCTAACATACTTAGGGCCTTGAGCTCGATACCTACATTTTGTGTATGTGTGTGTATTACTGGGGAATAGAAATCAAGCTCAAGCTGGGCATTCTATTACTTGAGTTAATGTCCCCAGACTGTTTCCTTGAAATAGGGCCTCCCTAACTTTGCCTGAGCTGGTCTTAAATCTATGATGCTCCTGCCTCTGATTACTGAGTAGCTGAGAATTCTATACATAGAGGTAATGGATAGAAGACACTAACACAATACTTCATCACATAAGTGATTTTTTTCAAGGGTGTGCCTTGGCACAGTTTTCCACAGCACAGGACTGACAACCTTTTGGCAGTGAAAAAGGATTTGGGTTAACATCTTTTCCAACCTGAGTTACTGTAATACTATAGAACTATGTATTCAGTTAGGTAGACGCTAATAGCTAAGAACTTTTAATCCCCTACTACTTGGGATAACAACCTGGACAAGAGCAAGAGCAACATTTAGAACATGTCTCAACTTCTGTTAAAAAAATAAACAAAACCAAGCTAGCAAGCAGTAATTAAGTAGAATAGAAAATAAGAAAACTATTAGGTTTGACAAAATTTATTGGTATTTTAGTAAAGACATTCATCTCAGTCATTTCTCTCTCCTCATCTTGACCTTATGTTAATATTTCATTTGGGTCAAGTAAAGAATATGTAGGAGAGGAATGTTATACAAACATTAAAATGGACAAAAATGGATACTTTGCCTACATAAAAGTTAAATTTATGTATCTTGATATAATTAAATTGTAAGAACTAATAGTGCTATTATATACATTTCCGTTTTACTTGGGGCTTATTCTAAACTTAAATGTGAGTGAACAAAGTGTTAGGTATATCCACAGGCTGCTTCTCTGGAGTTATTACTATTAAATGAGCTCAGCGAATAATTACCACCAGTAAAACTGTCTGAAGCTGCCTCCAAATTTAACATTGCAGTTTTCAAGGAAATCATTTCTTTTGTCTGTGACTATGCTTTTAAAGATGTGGTTTAACTGTCACATTAAAAAAAAAGAATCCATATACAATACAAAAATACAAAACAAACACCCTACAATACACAAATTTAACAGTATATGTAGTGAGAGATCTATATAATGTATCTGAAGATGCATTTTCTTTCCTTTTATTCTCAGTATTAAAATGTGCTTTTGAGGCCACTGGTGAGTATGAATACACTTAAACCACATAGTTGTACTAATAAGAAATTCTGTAGTGAGTTCAGTTCAAATTGATTTAACAAGTAAGTAACTTAAATGCTTGGACAAGGTTACAGAAAGTGCATCTTCTCTTTCCATCTTCATACAATGTTAAAATTTTTTTTTCTTTTGGTATATAAACCTTTTAAGAAATAAAAACCAGTCAAAAGCTTAAGCAGTATGTACATTTAAGTTTTTGGTGGTGGTTTGTATTTTAAAAGAAACAGCTTCCTTATGATTTGCCTCAAGTTCTGGTGGAAATGCTTACAGGAACTAGAAACAAAAACCAAGAGAAGCACATTCAAAATACTGATTTACTTTGGTAGCAAATGGTTGTTGTTTGAAGACTAATGGAGACAAGACCCAGTAAGGTGAAGTGAGCTATTTCAAATACTCAATACTTCACATAAAATTTTTTTTTTTTAAAAAAGAGCTAAGCGCCTGTTATCCACTGATAGCAATGCAATATCTAGTATATAAGTTGAAACAAAACAAATGCCATAAAGAAAAAAGGAATATTTTAATTTTACCTAAATTTACTCTGAGTGAATAGTCCAGTAACATTTCCTCTCAATACAATACTCCCTCTTTATAAGGCTGTTCCGGAGCCAGACAGTTTAGGTAATGAGGGAGATAAGCTAGGAGAGTAACTGTTTACAGTTTTAAACAGACAATAACTTTTTGCTTCCCTCTTAATGTGCTAATAGTTATGTCTAAAAAAATATGCAATTCTTAAAAAGGTACCATTTCTGATTTATTATCTGTAATCTTTGGAAACTAATCACATGAAACTACAAAATTAGTAAATGTCTTGAAATCTGTTTATAAAACATAAATTACCTTTAATTTCAAACTCTCATTTATTAGTGTGCTACTCAATCTTTAAAAAAACAAAAGAAAAAAGAAAAAGAAAAAAAAAAAAGGCGGCTCCAAAGATAGTCTTATACCATACTTTAAAAAAGGAAACTGTTCCTTTTAACTTTACACCCACCCCATACCCCAATTTCAAATCACATCATTTAATTAATTGTCTTGGTCATGGACATTTCCCAGATGAGATTTTATATTTCGTTCCCATAGCTTCTGGTTATCAGAAAATCCATGCTTTCCTTTATTGAAGGAATTTGGTCCAGCTGATGTTGGTGTATCCCTGTGTTAAAAGAAATGAAATATATTTAAAACATTATAAATGTTTTGGGATACATATTAAACTCATCAACAAACACTTGTTTAGGACTTATATAAACACAGACTGAACACCAGAAGCCTCTGCAGAGATTTTAAAAAATACCCTTTCCACAAATTGAGCTATAATTCAGGTATGGTTCAGATTCAGTGGGCCTGTGGTATGTGAGGAGGGGAGGCAAATCTGTTTTATTTGTGTTTGTTTTAGCAACGCTGAAGATGGGGAACAGGGCTTCATACATGCTAAGCAAGTCCTCTACCACTGAGCCACATCTCCTGCTCAAATCTGTATTTTTAACAAACATTTAAGGTAATTATGATATACATTTAAAGATGGCATTACAGTTTTAAAGACTGTTGCCTGAGAGCTGAGAGTATAGTTCAGCTGTATAGCCCTTGCTGAGCATGCACCAGGCCCTGGGTTTGATCTCCAGCACTGCAAACACCAAATGCAAAAACTTGCAGAAAATCAATTACCTGAAATCCAGTATTAGGGTCAGGAAATTAATTTGGTAGCCTGCCAGTAGCATTTGTCAATAGTGAAATAGGAAAAACATGAAGATACATCACACATAGAAAGATGCAGTGTCATTTTATAAACTTTGGTTTCAATTTTGTATGTTTAAATACACATGTATTGGGTTAGACTGGGTAACAATGTCAGATGTATTTTTTAACTTGAGAACCTAGTATGAAAGGAGGCAACTCATTGGGATGGTTTGACTTGAATCAAGACTGACAGTCTAGCCAGACACTGGTGGCTTACACCTATAATCCTAGCTACTCAGAGGCAGAGATCAGCAAGATCTTGGTCTGAGGCCAACCCCAGGCACATAGTTCACAACACCCCACATTGAAAATACCCAACATATAAAAGGTTGGCAGAGCAGCATCTCAAGCAGTAAGCATCTGCAGCACAAGTGAGAGGCCCTGAGTTCAAATCCCAGCACTACAAAAAAAAAAAAAAAAGACTGAAAGTGTTAGTTTTTTGGGGGTTCACATACTTAGTAGAAATGGGGACACAAGTGGGTTGATGTAAAGTTCACTTTCTTACTAGTCTATAGGTTACCCACTTATACATACAAAGACAGGAAATCAAACATGTTAACAAAGACAATGGAGGAAAATGAGAATATTTTTCTATCATTTTGGTGTTGTGGGTATTTAAAATAAGTTTCCAAGGGAAAAAGGATACCTAAGATGAAGATTAAATGGTAAGAATATCATTACAAGTGAAGCAACTAAAAGCCATTTTTCTATTATACCAGAAACATTTTTCTTAGCTCTCTCTTATTTGAAAAAAATACAGGTTACATCTTCCTAAAAAGAAATAGCCTCATATTATTGGTATGTTTTTCTTAATATACACATTTTCTTCTACCAGTACAGAAAATAAGATCACTGATAGCTCACGGAATATTATAATATTTCCTCTTTCTTCATGATTGGTCCAGTTCTTGCTTATCTTTAAGATCCTAATTAACTTACCTAGTACACAGAAAATGTTCAAAACTATTTTGCCCAAACACACAAGGAAAGCATAAACACTAAAAACATTACATGAAGTGTATACTTGCTCTTAATTCATTCCTATAATTTTCTGGAATATTTATGAAAAATTATACCTTCCAATATTCTTCATCCTCATCTTTGCTTCTGGAGGCATTTCCTCTGGCTCACTCTGAAGGAAAAGTAAGTAAACTGAGCTAAATACATTCAAATTTATTAAATTTATTTGATTTACTAACTAAATTTTATATATGTCTTTTAGCCTTTTCAATACTGCACATTTTGGTAGAAATGGAGAAAATTAGTGAATTACTTAACTACATTAAAAAAATTTTTTTTACTTTTTAAACCAGTGAACACCCCTCTTCACTACACTTTTAAAAGAAAAATATTGTCTTCTAGGGTGCTGATTTTGAATAAAGAAAAAAATTTAGTAAAAGCCTCATATTCTAGCATCCATTGTATTCATAAGCATTTGTTGATTTGGTTCTTAAGATCCTCCCCTAAAGTTAGCAATATTTTAAAATAATCCTAAAACAAAATAAACAGAAAAATAGAAGCACCTTTTTTTAAGTGTCACTAAGAATGTAATTAAGAAATTTTACACGAGGGCCGAGTACTGGTGGCTCACGCCTACAATCCTAGCTACTCAGATCAGGAGGAGATCAGGCAGAGATCTCTCAAGACAGAGATCAGGAGGATTGTGGGTTCAAAGCTAGCTCAGGCAAATAGTTCATGATATCCTATCTCAAAAAAACCATCATAAAAAAGGGCTGGTGGAGTGGCTCAAGGGGGAGGCCCTGAGTTCAAGCCCCAGTACTGGGGAAAAAAAAAAAAATCTTACAGGGGAATAAAGGACTATGATGGAGGGGGTGAATTTATGATATAGTTAGAACTTTTGTAAATGTCACAATGTATCCATACTACAATAATAATATGATAAAGAACAAAACCAAAAAATGTTTATGACTCCAAAAGCATGAAAACATTGGCAAATTTATTCCCTGAAATGCATACAGATTGTAACTATTTCAAATTTCAGTATATGGCACATTCTTGGCACTAATCAAATTTTTATAATAAAAGGAATGAAAATGTGTCTATTTCACACAAAAAAAGAAACTTTACTAATATTATTAATACAACCTACAATTTGCCACTAACATTCCTTTCTGGTTAAAGAAAAACAAAATAGGTATTAACTTACATCTTCATCTTCATTAAAAGCTGCTGCTACTGAAAGAGTTTTTGGAGCAAGAGTTGGAACAGTTTCTTTAGGCTTCTGAAGAAGAAACATATTAAACAGAATATAGCATAAATAACAATTATATAGGCTTGTTTAATGATATGAACAATTGACCTTGAACGATTCAGTTGTTTTCATAAATGTATATAGTAAGGAACTCAGTACTTTTGACAGATCTATTCTCTCTCTGAAAACATGGCTTATCAATGGGTAAAGTTTTATTTTGCTAATTCATTATATCCACGTTTCCTTCCCATAAAAAATCTCTAATTAGGATCTATAATTTAATATTACTTAAGCTAAGGGGTACTTGGTTCAGGTAAGAGAAAATGACTAATAATACTTTCCCTTAGTAACATTAAATTGCCTTGAGAACATAAAAGGCACCATGACTTATCTTTCTAGTAGTTACCTTTCTACCTTTGGCCTTTAAACAAGCTTCACCCACTTCCTCTCTTCCTAGCAGGCAACCTAAATTGTTTTCATTATCCTGTTTAGTACACTCACCACTCATTTAGTCTTCATTTAACTGCAATCTGGCTCCCAGCCTTACCATTCCCCTGAAATTATTCTCATCAGGGCCACTAATGACTAGTGTGTTGTATTTGATTCTAACCACCAGCTCCTTTTTGAAAACATCCCTCTCTCTTGGCTTCTGGGACAGTGTTTTTTTATTCATTATTCTCCCAATTCTCTAACCTTTTGGTCTGCCTGTCTCCTTTCTCTGTGGCTCCTCACTCAAGATACAGGCACTTAGGACAAAACTATTAGTGACTATACTTTTCTGGTCAATTTCATTCATTTCCAAAGAGTTAACTACCTAGTTCTTTGTCTACCTCAACTCAGCTGTAATCTGTGTACTGGAAAGCTCCATGTATGAACTCCCATAGGTACTTTAGTTTCATAATGTTCATTAAGTAGTCAAGCTGGAAGACCTTTTCATAAACTTGTACAGTCTTATTGGTTAGATCCCTGTTAAATACATGTAATTCTCTCTTTCCAATCTACCAATTCCATATTACCAATCTAAGATCCTTAACATTACCTGACTGAAACTACTGTTGGAGACCATCTCCCATGGGTGGGGTGTGTATTGGGCTCAATTCCCAGAAGAAAAAATGAAAACTCATCTCCCTACTTTGGGCATTCTTTTTCCTCCAATCCTCCCTCTTGGTACCAGAGTGATGTTTCTAAAATGCAAATGTGCTTAAGTCTTGAGATTCCTTATAATGGTACCCTACCTCCCCTAAAACCTAAAATTAAGCAAATAAACAAAAACCTACTCAATGGACTCTAGGTCCTTTATAATTTGGTCTCACTTTGGGGTTGGGTTTCTATCAATTTGCAAGTATTTACAATTTTCTCAATTTACCATATAGCTTCATATCTAAACTTTGCATGAAACTCCTTGTATCTGCGTGAAATGCTCTTTTGCCTCCTGTATATATTTAAGTCCAACTCAAATATCACTTCATCAGTAATATCTTCTCTGATCTGCTAAAATATCAACCATCCTTCTCTGTACCACATATACACACACATTTTTTTAAATGACTGTTTTCAAAGGAATAAAAAAATGTTAAGACAGTGTTCATAGTGGTTCTAGAAATACCCTTTAGTCTATCACAGCTTTATATACACAATATAAGACACAAATAAGTATTGAAACTGTATTTAGGAACCATTTCAACTGTTTTTTTCATATCCTACACTTCACTCACTATGAAGACTGCAGTTTATTCTGTAAAGGTTTTTGTTTTCTAAACTTAAAAAGTTTTACTAAGTACACTTTTCCAAATATAAGCCTTCCACTTTTAAAATAAATAACAGCTACTAAATCATGTCAATGATTTAGGAAAACATAGGGATTTGGATTCAGGGAGTATGTCCAAGTATAGTAAAATCTAACGAGGGACTTAGAATTATATGTAAAAGTATTTGTTTAACATGTTACCAAAAAAATAAGCATTTATGCAGTTAGATCTGTGCAACTTTATAAAAACATTATACAAGCCAGGTGCCGGTGGCTCATGCCTGTAATCCTAGCTACTGAGGAGGCAAAGATCACGATTGTGGTTAGAAGCCAGCCCAGGCAAATAGTCTTTGAGACCCTATCTTGAAGAAAAAAAACCTTTCACAAAATAGGACTGGTGGAGTGGCTCAAGGTGTAGGCCCTGAGTTCAAGCCCCAGTACCACACACACACAAAAAAGAATAATGTCACAAACTGACATGTCTATTGTTTACACTTTTTTTTTTAAGAAAAGGAAGGAGTGACAAAACAGCACTTGATGAGTTGGGGATTCTGAGGAATGGCTGCTCTTTTAAACTAGATAGTTCAAACTGACTCTAGTAGGAAAGTCACCCAGTCATATTTTTTAAATCTTTTCTTCCTTCCTCTGCTCCCTTCCCCTCCCCACTCTCTCCCTCCTTCCCTCCCTTTCTTTCTTTCTTTCTTTCTTTTTCTTTTGTTTGGTTGTACTAGATGGAGTTTGAACTCAGGTCATTCTGCTTGTTATGCGGACACTCTACCACTTGAGCCACAGCCTGAGTATTTTTTGCTTTAGTTATTTTTTGAATAGGAGCTTACATATATGCCTGGGCTGGCCTGGACCATGATCCTCCTATTTATGCCTTCCCAAGTAGTTGGAATAACAGGAATGCACCTCCACACCCAGCTTTTATTGGCTGAGATAGGGTACCTCACACTTTTCACCCCAGCTGGCCTCTAACCTTGATCCTCCCAATCTCTGCGTCCTGAGTAGCTAGGATTACAGGTATAAGCCACCAAACCTGTCTATACTCTTTTAAATCTTTGAATGAACATCTATGGCAAAAATAAAGCTGTATGTATCTGACAATTAGGCAGTAACTTTCACAAAACAGATACAAATAAACAACTCAGAAGTGATTCAGGATTCTTCTCCTCTTGTGTCAATGTAACCACTTTCTAAAGCCAATAGTTTTATTTTTTAAACTCAGGGCCTCATGTTTGCTAGGCTAGGGTTCTACCACTTGAGCCACACCCCACAGCCTTAAAGCCAAAGTAATATACTATCAAGTATTTTTTCCTTAAAGAGATTTGGTTGCACCATGTGAGATTGTCACACTGTAGATTAGAAACAAGTGTCTACAACTTTCTAAGCTTCAACCCAGTATTTCAAACACTTTCAGAGGATCCATGGTTAATAAATACTGATTCAAGGTTTACATTATAAAACAAGGGATTAAATGTTGATCTATAAAAGATTGTCATAAAGTTTGTAGTACACAATGTAGTTCCAAAGATTACCAGGAATCTCTTTATCAAGCAATATTTTACTAATACTGCTCTTTTAAGTTACAAGTAACTGATTTCTAGAGATACTATTATTATTGCTATTTTATGTGGAGGGTGCTAGGGATCAAACATGGGGCTTCTTGAATACTAAGCACATCTTCCACTACCTTAGTTATAGAGATATTATTAATATTATGAATAGTGGAAGATTTAAAAATAAAATCTCTTTGCCCGGGTTGGCCTTGAACCAGGATCTTCCCCATCTCAGCTTCCCAAGTAGCTAGGATTATAGGCACGAGATGCCCATGCCCAGCATAAATCATGTAGTCTTTATACTTGTTCCTTCTAATATTCCAAACTTATTTTTTAGACTGTAATTCATCAAGACCATTCCTTAACTTTGTGGTGATCACTTCTGACTTACATGTAAGTTTACACATTAGGCAATGTGACTTTATGCTCATTTCACCATACCTAGTAAATAGACTTCCAAAGCAATTCCTCAAAACCCATTACAAACATCATACATAAAGCAACAACTCACACTTGATCCAAGTTTGATGGATATGGATGATGCTTTCTTTGTCGTCTGACTACCTATGGCAAATCCAAACTTGGAGATCTTTGTAGGCTTTGTTGGGAGGTCTGCAACTTCTTCTTCAGCTGATCGCTTCTCAGCGCTGCGACTGGAACTTTCCCCTCCATTACTGGAAGAAACAGTCTTAGTTTTCACAGGTTTTTCTGCTTCTTCTTCAGGTCCTGGTGAAGTCGAAACAACTTACCAAGATGAGCTATTTTTACTGAGCAGATTGATGGGAGCAGCAACCTCAAAAAGCATCGTTACAAAGAAGATACCTCTGCAGTTGTCACCTACTGACCCAACAGTCTCTTCCACTGTTTGTTAGAGTATATAGCAGGAACTGAGATTGTGTGGCAGTAGAAAAGGCTCCCATGAATTAACTAGCATAAAATACAGAGCAATTTAAAATTATAAACAGAGTTCACAAAAAGTAAAGACCTTTCAACCAAGTAGTACATAAATTGCAGAATAATCTGGTTGTTTGTAGAAATTTGCTTCTCAAAAGTTAAGACATATAAATTATTTTAGACAAATTAGTGAGCAATCAATCATGTGATAATACATTTGGACAATAAATTCTAATAACTTAGTACTAATCATACAAAGTACCTACTTCTGAACAGGACCCCTATTACCTAAACTATAGTGGTAAGGTAGCCTAGATTATTTTCTTGAGTGGTGTGTCATGTATGCCTCATACAACTTTCAAGAGCTGAATAAAAACTTCAAAGAGGACTTCGAGGTCATCTCTTGACCAGTTTTATTCTACTCTGAAAACTAGGTTATCACCTATTTTAAGTTACTTGTAAGAGATATTAAAAGTCATACTTTGGTTTATACATTACTTTTTCTCATGAAAGAAAAATGAGCTAATTTTAACTTCAAGTAGAAGGCACACATTTATAGGTTTGGAAGGCAAGAATTTTTTCAGTAATTTTGTTTAGATTTGTATTTAAGTCAATGATGAGTTCACATCCTGAGTATCTATGGTCTGCTATATAATAACACTATTTAAGAACATATTGGGAGGTTAAGACAGAAGACTGGCTAATCATTAAAAATTTTATTTTCTTTCCCCAGTTTGCCAATCCTCTTTATAGAATCTATTCAATTACAATGAAGAGTCTACATGTGAAGAATGAGATGATACTCTACGGGATGGTCCTGTCGATAGTTAAGAAAGCAAGACAAAAACAGGAAAGGGAAAAAAAAATCAGACACAGACTGACAAGTAAAGGATTAAAAGCCTTGGAATGATGGGGTCTCTGGTACTTTTTGGTTCTGGAGATCGAATACTGGGTCTCACACAAGCTAGGCAACCCCTATACCACTGAGCTACATCCCCAGCTTTGATCTTTTTTTTTTTTTTGGGGGACAGGGTCATCTCATGTTGTGTAGCCCAGACTGACCTCTAATTCTACTGTTTTAGCCTCCCGAGTAGCTAGAATTACAAGTGTGCCACGATGACTGCCCAGAAATCTGTATTTTGAATACAACATTTCAAAAAATAAACTATCTTCTTTGGACATGGAGTAAATGGTATAATGACAATGTAGGGAGGGAATTAAACAGAATTAAGTTTTGGGGTTTACCCAACAGACAAAGATAGTTTAGAATGGTTGCTTGAGGAGCCATTTACCTGTTTATACGTAAAATTACAAAAGTACTCAAAGAATTAAAAAATGAGGCTACTATTCAATAGTTGAAAAAACAGAATTTGATTTAAGAAATACAGGTTTTTTGCGGGGTGGGGCATGGTACTGGACTTTGAACTCAGATCCTCATGCTTGCGAACACTTGAGGCATGCCCACAGCCATTTTTGGTTTGGTTATTTTATGAGTAAAGTGTTGTGCTTATGTGCGGGCCATCTTGGACCATATTTCCTACATAGCTGGGATTACAGATGTGCACCACAACACACAGCTTTTTATTGGTTAGGATGAGAGTCCCACAAACTTCTGGCCTTGGCTAGTCTCTAATTGCAATCCTCCCAATCTCTACTTTCCCAATAGCTATGATTATTAATAGGCATGAGCCACCAGGTGTGGCCCAGAATTTAATTCCCCCAAAAAGTATGATGCAAATATTAGTTTATACAAAAATCTATGTTTATAACTAAAAGAATTTACTGCTAGGTGGTGGCGGCAGCAAATGCTTATAACTCAGCACTGCAGAAGAATGGGAGTTTGAGTCCAGCTTGGACTATACAGGAAACCCTGCCTCAAAAAATGCAATGGTTTGGAACATAGCTCAGTGGTAAAGTACTTGCCTAGCATGCTCAAGGCCCTAGATTTGATCCCCTGTGCAAAAAAACAAAAACAAAAACAAAAAAACCTCATTTTTCATGCATCCTATTTAGTTAATATCAAATATGATATTCCGTAATTACTTTTTCATGGTAACACACAACTAATCGAAAATTTATGAGTTCTAAATATTGGCACATACAGAAAACTGACTGGCTTTACATACAGAAACAGTCTATACACTAACAGTAAATGTTCTGTGAAGGTACAAATCCCAATATTAAAACAAATAGCAAACTTGATTGGGTCATATGATAGAAGTACAACTCTGCTCTTTGAACCATGACACAAAAACTATAATTAGTTAAGACTTCCAGTTTTTTTAAAGCCTGTTTTTTTTTTTTTTTTTGAGGTCTCCCTTTACCTAGAAACTAACTCTGGAACAGAGAACTTAGAAAAACAAAAACATAAGAAAAAACGATACTTACTGAAATTACATATTACTAATATTAAATGTGACAACTAGCTATGCCAGTATGCGCTAATAAGTAAAATATACTACTCTGTCTAATCCCATTATGCCATAGGAAGATTCCCATGGAAGCTGTTCAAGAACAAAATGGCATGAAAAGGGAAAATGGAAAAATTACTTTTATCACTTACTAATAATCAACTGTAGTGACTCAATTTTATTCACCTCTCTGTTCTTACCATCTGAAGAGGCAAACTAGACCTCCCATACCACAGGTCCAGACTGAAGATAAACATACTATGTTTCTACACGACTGGTTCTATATCCAGCCATCAATTTATTTCTGGACATAAAAAAAATGAGCCTTGTCACACTCAAGGTTTTTGTTTGTTTGTTTGTTGTTGTTTAAGGCAATTTTTAAAACTCTTGTCAATACCTTTTGATCAGATCTACTCATCAACAAAGAGATGGGAAAGTAGGCAATGAAGGAAGGTGGGTGTACTATTAGCTCTCATTTCTTAGCTTTAATGGGCTCATTGTGTCACATGGATCGTGCTATTATTTCCTTTTTATAGAATCCTCCCAACATTTATGCAGCAAAGTACACAAAGCATTTAGGAAGTATCACAAATAGAACAATGAACTAAGATGGAAAAATATGACAGCCAAATGTTATTACTAATGTGATTATTATTACTATTACAATTTTTAAAATTTCACATACAGTTGATTAGGAAATTATTTCAATCTAATGTGAGCACTGAAATATACCATTAAATACAAACATATCCATAAGTATTAAGTGGTTTTCTTTTAAAAAATTTATTACCATATTATAGCTATACTGGGGGTAAACCATGACATTTACAAAAGTGCTTCCAGTATATTTTAGATTTAACCCCCCTCCGTTTTTTTCCTTTATCCCTGCTTCCCTAAGCGTTTTTCCTACGTACTACTTAGTATTTGGGGCCTTTAATCAAAGACCTCTATTTCCAATTTATTTAAAGAGAAATTTTGTATTTTGGGACTTTGGGAAATAAAATTCTGATGACCACAGATGACTACTGTGAAGATTTTCAGCAATGTGAATTATAGTGCAAAGGATGAATAAATGTATGTTGATCTTTTAAAAATAAAAGTCACATTGATCATAGCATAAAACATGGGTAAGTCTATACATTACTAGAGTCTTTATTAAGAAATATCTTAATAAAGGGATTTTAGGTAATTTGTAGCCATTCTTTTTTTATTTTATTTTTTTGCAGTACTGGAGCTTGAACTCAGGGCCTACACTTTGAGCCACTCAGCCAGACGTTTTTTGTGTTGCGTACTTTCGAGACAGGGTCTCTTGAAGTTTTTGCCAGAGCTGGCTCAAACCTCAATCTTCCTGATCCCTGCCTCCTGAGTAGCTAGGATTACTGGTGTGAGCCATGGGTGTAGCTCTTATATTCATTCTTAAGCAAACAAAAAGTGTAGATAAATTAATGTGAAGTCAAAATACATATGGTACTAGTATTTTAAAATTTGTTATTTCACTGAACAGTTGAGAAGGGGATTAGGCCTTGGAGCCCAATGGTGCCTTACTTTGAAAAAATTACCTAATAAGAAATTGTTACATACATAAAAGTACCTTTCAATGACCCATTTGCATTCTGGAAACTTCCTTATCTGAAAAAAGGGAACAGAGATACCTCTCTAAAAGTTTGGTGTGCAGCTTAAATGAGAATGTATTCAAGATCCTTCTCTGTCTGGCATAGGGAATGTCATGTAACTGAAGTAATTCTTAGCACAACCTTACTTAAAAGCTTGAAATGGCTATGATTATGTATTAATAGCTCTTCTCCAGAGTTTCTACTTATCTCATTATTTTAACCAAAAAGAGAAAAATATCTACCCAAAGCACACTGTTCTTTAAAGTGAAAACATAGCTCAAGTAGCTTCTCCCATAGACGTACATTAATTTTAATTATGAAAATAATCTACTAATTAAAATACCTACACTTCTAGAGCTAGGGGGTGTAGCCATGAGTTCAATCCCCAGCACCAACAAAAGATAAACAAAATACTCATACTTTTCCAACAGACTGTTTAACAGAAATAAAAATTCATAAATCTGATAAGTCCCTAGGACCAACATGACAATTTTTTTAAAGTGATTACTTGTTATAAAATTGTCAATTAGGAATATCCACGGTACGAAATAGTTTTAGCCATGTACAATTTCATTAAAAATATCTGCTATTCAAAAATGGTTTATATGCATCAGCACTACTTTCTTATAAAGGAAATAAGGTAAATTTTGTAGAAATTAATGGATATTTGTTATTTTAGGTTACCAACACACCGTAATTTTCTGATAATGATCAGCAACATAATTTTATACACCCCCCCCAAACGTGGTAAAATGGAAACATGAATATTTATATCATAGAACTAATATTCTCCAACTGAAAGGCTGGCAGGAAAATTACACAGTGGATTTATGCTGACACATTGGGTAGATACTGGCAGCACATTAAACACTTCTCTGCTGCTCTGTCACAAGTCCTTCTCTAGGCTTTAGATCTCTTTTTCTAAAGTTACTTCTGAACTTTTATATGTAATTTTGCTTGACAACTTCTAAGACAAAAAATTTTGGAGGGGGACTCTCAAATAAAGAAGAACTAGATTGTTATTTCGTAAGCTATTTTACTAGTTAAAAAGGGAGGAGGGAGTTTCAACTAAGAGCACTGTACCCATTTTTTTTAAGAGGAAATTCTTGGTCCAAAGTAAAAGAAAACATTACATTTACCTTTCCAGTAATTTTGTTTCCCACTAAAACTCGCGTTAACTATTGTTAGTAGGTCCTACTATTTGCCTTCGTGTTATTTTCTCATATTAAGGACTTTCAGGGATAAGACTTGAGGAGGTCAGAATAGAGGGTATTAAGACGTTCTAAAGGAGACATTATGATCAGCTCGCACGTGTTAAGTCACTTGTCTCCTTATGACAAAGGAGGGTGGAGAGATTACGTTTCTTTTGCTTAATACACAAGATCCGAATTTCTGGGGTAGAGGGGACAGAATAAAGATAGCTGAAACTTTAGTTTAATATCGTAACAAAACACAGGAAAGCCACTCTAGCCTGTGGAGTCACCTAAACTCCCGGCGTGCGGTCAGCGGCTGATAGCCCAGGACAAGACAGTTCAGAGACCATGACACCTAACCCGGGCCCCGCGGCTTAACCCGCGGCGTCCTCCTTCCCGCCCCTCGGCCCCGCGTTAAGGGGCGGCCTCGAGCCGGGGCCAGGCAATCCTACGTGTAACCGAGAGGCCCTCCGGCCGGCTCGGGGCCCGCACTGTGTGGCTGCGTGTCGTGGTTAGTGTGAGGTGTCCCGTGTGTGTTGTGAGTGACGCGCGGCTCCTGCACCGCCGCTCCCGGCCCCACCCCGACTTCAGTCTCCCACCTCCCTTCTCCTCAGAAGGAGGGCTTCCTCAGGCACCACAAGGTAACGGAACGAGGCCGCCAGCCCCCCGACAAGGAGGCGATGCGGGCCTGGATCCCAGCGGGCCGCACCGGGCGTGCCCCGGGCTCATCTGGGCCCAGCGCCTAGCCCAGTGAGCGTCAGATCCGCCCGTTTTACTCGACCCCGCTCCCCCCACCCCGGGGAACTCAAAGAAAGGCCCGGAGTAACCCCCGCAGCCCGCGACGCTGGGGTTGTGTTCACCTCCGGCGGCTCCAGTTCGCTGCGGCTTTTCAGGCTTCTCCTCTCCCGCCTTCCCGTCCGCCATTTTCCCCGCCGCGGACTACCCTGCAGCCACGCCAAATGCGTCACGGCCCCGCCCAGCTACCATGGAGTTCTGGGGCCCGCTAGCGAAGTCGCCGCCTAGAGCGGCCCTCGCCTCGGAAGCGGAAGTGACGTCACCGACCAGCGGTCTCTGAAGGGAGGAGAGGGCTAAGTGGAGGAATGGAGATCTGTGTACAGTATTGGATAGGGATGGTTATGGTACAGCCGCATGTACAGAGAAGTGAGGAGAGGTATTGGAACCGTTGGTGGAATCAGGTTTCTGCAGTGGTTTCCAAGTGTTTGCAGTTGAAACTGGCAGGTCCTTCATTGTGACTTCATTGGATCACGTGTGCTTGCCTACTCAACAGGGGAGGGGCAGAGGAGGTAGGGCCATATTTTCTTCATAAAGGGAAAATTATCATTTATCAAGCGCCCTCTAGTGTTAGGCACCTCTCATACACTGTCATTTAATCCCCACAATAGTCCAATGTGAAATACCCTAATTTCTTGTGTGTTGAGACCAGAGAGTAATTTGTCCAAGGTCACGTAATGAAGTGGTAAAAACACCTTTTCTACAAACCGCAATTTCTCTATCAAATTCAAATTATCTTGATTTGTGCCTGGCTTAGAAACCTGTACAGGATTCCCAGGGTCTGCAGCCTCATCTGTTTTCTAGTCTTATTTTCCCCACGTTTATCAGGCCCTCCAGTAGCTAGAGTTTCTGAGTTGGCTCTGTAATATACAGTTACAGAACGTAGTCCTTTTTGAATTCCTGATCTGTCGTTCCGTTTCAACCTTGACAGTTGCTAACTGCCCACAGATTTGCGCATATTTGTCTACAAATTAGGGCGGGCACAGTGATTCAAGCCTGTGAATCCCATCCACTTAGGGATGCAGAGGACCGGAGATCCTCCGCTGGAAGCCAGCAAGGGCAAGTTACTCCCATCTCAACAAATAAGCCGGCCATGGTGGCATGGGCCCGCTACCCGAAAGAAAGAATAGGGGTCTAAAAAGCCGGCCCAGGAAAAAGCACACATTATCTGGAAAAAAAAAAAAAATAGGTGATATCGAGCGCTTGCCTAGCAAACTGGAGGTCCTGAGTTCAATCCCCAGTATCGCCAAAAAGAAATAATTTAGTGTGTTCTCCATGACTGAAGTAGTGTAGTTTAGTGATCATTTTGTAATCTGAGTTGAAGTCCCTGACCCACCATTTATCACATGTGTGATCATGAAACTATCTTAGAACAATAATTCACGTTTGTTTCACCTTTCCCACGTATGATCTTTGCAAGGTAATAATCATTTGAGACTCACTTCTATTATTTTTAAATGGAGACATGGGATTTTTATTTGAAATTATGTATTTACTTATATATGTATTGTGGTGCTAGTGATTGAGCCCATGTTAGGCAAATGCTCTGCTACTGAGCTACAACCCAGTCTATGAGGAAAATGAGCCTCCCGGTGCTTACCACAGGCTGTGTTCTGACATTGACTGTATATTAAGAGGAGGCAAAGTAAACCGCAGGCCCTGTGTGTGGTCTGTATTGTGAATGGAGACATGGAATAGGAGGAAAAAAAATGAGGGTAGCAGAAGTCACATACTACTGCTTTCCAGAAGCAGATCCACATACTACTTTGCAGAATTTAAAGGTGGAGGATAGTAATACATTAACCTGTCAATTTAAATTGTCACTTGCTAATTCTGTAATGTTACTAAATGTTTTAACTATAAGAAGTTAAATACTTACAAAATTACCGTCAGCATTAAGTGATATGATAGAGGTAAAATTTGTATGGTGTACTTCTTTAACCTCTAATGTATTATTCAAATGATGGTTTAAAAAGCTGGAAATGCAGGGTACTATCATTTTAACCTAGATGTGCAATTTGTGAGATATTTTAACAGATACATCTAATATTTATTCACTTACTATATGCAAAGCACTATTTGCAAGTATTTAACATGAAATTAAGTGCATTAAACCATCACAACCCTGTGGATTAGGTGCTATATTTACATTTTGTTTTTGAGGCAGGGTTTTGCTATGTTGCTCAGGCTGGCCTCCAACTCACCATTCTCCTATCTCAGCCCCTTAGTTCTGTTTATAGGCATATGCCAACATGTCCAAGTTTATCACTCCCATTTACTGACAAAATAATTGGGACACAAAAAAGGATAGTAAGAAATGGAGCTAAACCTGAAATTGTTAGAAAACTACAACAAAATGCAGCCTCATACTAGTCTTGACAGTACCAGGCAATTCTAATACCTTGTTCTTAATCATTATAGTACTACTTTTTTCTTCACTGTATCTCAACTCCTTCAATAGGCTCAAACAGTTGAAATTCATATGATACTAATCATTGTCAGGTCAAGTTTACACATCACTTTTTCAGGGCCTTTTCTGATCCCAGTTAAGTTTCAATTATAATTTATTTACTTATAGACAGTCCAAGCTGGCTTCAAATTTGTGATTGTCTTTCCTCAGCCTCCTGAGTGCTAGAATGAATTGTTTAATTTAAAAACTGAGACTCTATAATCAGACAGATCTTAACAATTCTCATCCTATACTCAAAGGTTGAATTATTTGAATAAATTGTTATTTGTAAAAAGGTGTTAAGCAATATACCTTAGTGTCTATGGATGTAGACATTGTACCATGTTGAATTTAATAAGTGAACCACCACCCGAAGTTTAGAAACCTTTTCTAAACCATTTTTTTCCCTCATGAAAAGAGTAGTTGCTGATATGGATAAAAGAGCATTTAAGGAGGATAATGGAAACTGAGACTCAAAGAATCCATAAAAAAACCACAGTAATGGCCTGTTTTATTGGGTTCACTTAAAGATTACTTTATTCTACAAACATGAACAACTTTGGTTATTGTCTTTTTACAATAAACAAAATATATTCCCAAAATTCTGCAGATATTTAAGGAACTGGGAAAAGACAATTCTGCAGTTAATTTGTTAAGACTACCTTTAAAAGAGAAAATGAATTCCATTGAGGAAGGAATACTTAATAGAACTGTATTTCCCACCTATTTATTTTTGTAAGCTATCAAATTTTCTCATTCAAGCCACATTTTCTATGTGCATTCACTTTTGGAAATGAATTAAAACTTTTTGTCTTTTTCAGTCTGTTGACAAGCTCTTGGGAATGTTGAGAAATCTCCAGATAACCAGTATGTTTTCTCCTGGGAACAAACTTCAGAGCCTCTTCCCAATTACCAGTGTTTTTTAGACATAACAAAATACGCATCATTTGATCTAAAGTAAGATTTTTGGTACCAATCTCCCATTGTAAATATTTATCTAATGGAAGGCATTCTGTTGCCAGATTTAGCCGTTTTGCCTTGGCTAGGGATGTGCCTGGCTGCATATTTTTATCAACAAATGATCCAATTACATAAATTTTATCATGTTTGAAAGTAGTCATAACATTGGGAGAATCTGCAGTTAAATATATAATACTGTCTTTTGGAAATAAGTCTACATGAGACTTTTCTGTTGCTGTTAAAAGCAATTTGTCCCATTTTTCTCCATAACGTTTAACTAACTCCCTATGATAAGCACTATCTACTTTAAGATTGCAAAAATGAATGTGGAAAGGATCAACATTTCTTCTGTTCCATCCTTCACTTTCTAAAAGTTGGGAAACAGTATTCTGCATTTCTTTTGAGTTCATATAATTATCATAAGCCATGTCAAAAACCAAAGGTTGTCCAAACTGCATAGCCTGGGCACCCTTCCAGCCCATTGCAATGTTCATATTCCTGTCCCAAAGTCGAAGAAATAGAAAGTTTCGCTGTTCATCTTCCTCAGTGGTTTCTAGCAGTTTGGCTTTTTTTGCTTCTTCCTTTGCTACTGCTTTCATTTCCTTTTTTCTTTGCTTAGCCTTTTTCAGTTTTTCCTTAACATACAAAAATTTTAAATATTTCTTTTTTGATGATTTAGAAGAACATTCCATAATGGTTTTCAGCTCTTCTTCAGTGATATGTTCTGGTACTTCTTTACCAAGCAATCTCCACATCTCAATTAATTCTCTGGTGGCAGCAACAGCATCTTCATCCTTGTTGTTTGAAACAGTTGAAACACCTTCTTCTTGCATACTAGATTTCATTGTAGTCTTCCACCTATCCAATTCTAGCTGTTCAGGAGGGGGTGTGTTCTCTTTATTAGGATACGACACAGTAGGTATTTTGGAGGCCATGTATCTCTGCAGAATTGTTGAATATACATTCCTTCTCCTCCTATGAAGAGTGAATGGCACCAAAATCCTTCCAAAAGTTCTTAAGCAAGTGACACTAACACTCATTTTGGAGAATAAAAACGTGAGGAATCTCCTATAAAAGAAGATAAATGAAATTAAGTTAGAGGTTTTTTTAAAACTTCCAAACTAACTATGCAAATACAAGTTTGATACCACAATGCAATTCATTTCTAAAACATAAAGTGAAATCTTTGTACAACTTAAGTGCTACACCATTAATTTTTCCTAAACTTCTATGGCCTGGAGCTTGTAATCACTTACTGGGCAAAATTTAAAACATATTTGGGTTCTTATTTTTTGAGACAGCATCTTTCTATGCTGTCTAGGTTGGTCTTGAACTCGTAAGCATAAATGACCCTCCTGTGTCAGCCTCCAAAGTAGCTGGGATTACAGGCCTGCCCAAACACACTCTGTTCTAAATTCTTACTGTAGACATGAATTATATTATTTCTTTAGTCAATAGGATAACTTAAAGATCCATTAATATATAGGGGCTCAGAGAATCAATGTACTGGATAACAAAGTTACATAACACTGACACAGAGAGTTCATGATGCTATGGTTTCCTCCAGGTACATAATCAAACTCAAGATCCTTCACAAAAGCAATGCGTGAACACAAAAAGCAGAAAAGTTGCAGAGATGGTAACTAGTAAGAAGCATTTAAGAGCTGCTGTACCAAATGCCCCTGTGTTTTCAAAACAGAAATATACAGAAATCTATTGATTAAAAACAACAACAAACTCTTCTTCAGTTCAGGCTTTACAGAAAATGTTATCAAACAAAATGTCCCAAACTGGGACAAATAAATATAAAACACCACAATTTTATCCTGAAGAACTGAATGTTCCTCAAGATGATGAAGCTTAAAGATATGAAACTACGGTAAAACTGAAGTGAAAAAAATTCAAGTATTTACAAAATGCAATTAAAATACCTGAAAAGAAAAATTTCCCCTTCCCTGGGCTTCATTGAATGGCTCTGCATTTTCCTAGATCTCCTGCCTCTCTGACCTGTGCACTGATGCCCAGGTGCCCCTCCCTTTCCTTAAAGGTAAATGTGATTTCTGTGTCCTGTCCTTATACCTTAAAAAAACAAACAAACAAACCAAAAAAAAACCCACCTCATTTCCCCTATGGGATTTGATTTACATTTGTGGTTTCAATCACCATGCATCAAAAAGATATCTCAAGGCAACAAACTGAAATAATCTCTCCTTCCCTTCCCAATCTGATTTGTCTTGTGTTTTATTTCAGTGAGGGATACTGCTACAAAACCAGCTGCTGGAACTAGAAAATGGAAGTTATCTCACTACTGTCTTGTCACTCCATTTGTTGTATGCATTTTACTTTCCATACTTTTTAAAGTATTTACTACTGTTCAATTCATTTTCTTAACTGCATTTCCTAGTGTTCAGACTTGTTTCCCTCTATCTCTAAGCCACTGGAAATCTGGTTAATGGCATTTACGATGTTCCTCATTCCGTGTGTGTGTGTGTGTGTGTGTGTGTGTGTGTGTACTTCTGGTGGGACTGGGATTTGAACTTGGCTTCACGCTTACAAAGCAGGCACTCTAGCTGGGCACTGGTGACTCATGCCTGTAATCCTAGCTACTCAGGAGACAGAGATCAGGAGGATCTCAGCTGGAAGCCCGCCCCCGTCAAATAGTTTGCAAGACTGCAAGACCCTATCTCAAAAATACCCAACACACACACACACACACACACACACACACACACAAATCAGGCACTCTACCATTTGAGCCACAACTTCAGTCCATTTTGCTCTGGTTATTTTTTGAACTATTTACTTATGCTGGCCTTGAACAGGATCTCCAGATCTCAGCCTCCCAAGTAGCTAGGATCAGAGGCATGAGCCACTGACACATGGCTCCAATGTATATTTTTAAGCCTATTGCAACCAGGTTAAAGTCCAAACTTATATTCTTTGTCTCTTACTTTTTGTTTTTGAGACAGGATCTCACTATGTAGTCCAGGCTGGTCTGAATCTTGCTGTGTAGGCTCTTGCCTCAGCACCCCAAGTGCTGGAATTTACAGGTGTGTGCCACCAGAGCCAGCTTTTCATCTCTTACTTTAAACCAGTTATTCCTATTAGTCCTCAAAGCACATTGTGCCTATGGTAGTACTTGTAATATGGTATTCTAATTGTCTAGTTACCTATTTGCCCCCAAAGATGTTAAGGGCCATCTATTCCATTAGGACAAAGGCTGTGTCTATTTTGTTAACACTGAGCTCAATGCTTGGTAGTATTTGTCTCACAATAATCAAATATTTTCCGAATAAAAAGCCTGGGTCAAGGCTTCTCACATTTTAAAAATGTTCATTCCATTTAAAGAAAAAAAAAAAAAAAGCGGTAAGAGCGCCTGCCTTGCAAGCGTGAGGCCCTGGGTTCAAACCCCAGTGCTGCCCCCCCACCAAAAAACCAACCGATTTACTTTGGATTCCCCGAAATGCTTAACCCATGGTCCTTAAATCTGATAAAAACTGACTGCAGAAACAAAAGATATTTGCGTTTGTAGCCAGTAAAGGGTTTTAGAATACCACAGAAATTAAAAGTTAATTGAAAAAAAAATCAAGGATGTCATTTGGAGTCTTTGAGCTCCTTTCTGTTCAACTGGTGGCAGTTTACGGATTCGCAGAAGACAGTTCACAGAACTATCAGTACTTTACCTTCTGCTTTTACAGAGGTATATTTAGTTGTTTTGGGGGGGAGGGAAGAGACTTCATTTTGGGAAACACTCCTCTTGTTTCAGATGTGGGCTTCCTCTGTTCAGCAGGCCTTCTAGGCGCACATGCTCCTCTACGTGCATCTCGGAAGGTCATTCTCACCCCAAACCCTGGAAGAAAGAAGAAACGCGCGCGATACCAACTTGTAGAGATGGTGGCTCCCACGGCGCAGAGCGCAGGCACTCCACAGACTGAGGGCTTCGTGGTGAAAAGCCGTCCCAAACCGCGCGACTGCTTCTCAGCAGCTCACTACTCCATACAGAACGGGTCACCAAGTCAAGGCAGCATCCGGTTACTGCACTCCCGGAAATCCCGCCCTCTTCTTTCCGGCGCTGCCCACTGACCTCACCATAGGCGGAGAAGAATTCCGGGCAAAAAGCCGTGCGGTGGTTGGATAACTGACTGTGGGCAGTGGGTTATGAAATCGATGCTTTCAACTGACATGGAGGTTGTAATAAGTTTTGGTTGTTTTCTTTCATCCCATTTATCCTTAAAATTCAAATCTTCTCTTAACCTAGTCTTTTTCCATGTTGTCTATGTAAGCATGTGCTCACTAAAATAAAATATTATCATGAGTCCCAACTAGGCTTTGATCTCCTTGACGCTAGGCATTTAACTCTTAAGCTTATTGACCGGTTTATCATCAAACTAGTAAGATGTTTGAAATATGGTTGGCCATAGTAAATCTCTCTCCTTCCCCGTAGCTCGTTTGGTAAACTTAATGTGAAAGTTAAGTTGAGGTACATCTGTTAATTGACAGCCTTGGGGCAAAATCCAGCCTGCACATGTTTTATATAGGTTACAGTGTTCTCAGGTATTTTGGTTTTGTTTGTCATTTTAAAAACACACGGCCATTCCTTGTGAGAGATCAGTCTTTTCAAGAAATGGTGATGGGACAACCAGATGTCCACATGAAAAGATTGAATTTGGACCCTTACCATATATGAAAGTTAACTAAAAAATAGATCAAAGTTCTAAATGTAAGAGCAAAAATATAAAACAGAAGAAAACCTAGGGAGAAAAGTTTTATGTTATCAGATTTGGCAGATACGATGATTAGTAGTAATAGTTAACCTCATTGGATTGAAAAATACCTAGGAGACACACTTCTGGGTATGTTTCTGATGTCATTTTCAGAAAATATTAGATTACAAGGGCTCTGACCTAATGAATGGATTACTTTCTTGATGGATTTATAGTATGATGGCACTGTTGGGAAGTGATGGAAAGTAGAAAGTGGGGCCCAGTTGGAAGAAGAAGGTCAGTTGATGTAACAGGTAGGTACTTAAAAGCTGTTTTTTCTTTCCTTTTTTTTGTTTTAATAATATTGCCTTTATTTGACTAAATGACAATAGCCAAAATAATTCTGAATAACAGCAGACAGATAAATGATATACTGAACCTTGATTGAGTGAAATTTCTGTGATGGGAACACTGGTGATAGGCAGACATTTAGGGTGAGGCTAGAAGTTCTTTTTAAAATCTGTTTTAGCTGAAAAACACCAACTTCTTACTTGGGCCTTCAAATTAACTGAAAGCAGAATAAAAGGTAGGCATCTCAGCCTCCATTTTGTATCTGTATCCTTTGCTCTGAGCCATTCTCTCCTGAAGTTCCTTTGCAGTCCTCTTGGAAATCAGATAAGTATCTTCAGAGCCTCTGAAGGAAAGCAATGATTTATTGTAGCAAGGCCCTGCCTAGCCAATCCTGAAACAGTGAGCTACTGGACCACCTGTAGCCACCACGTATGACCACCTAAACACACCTGTGACTCAGACTTCTTGATATTTATGCATACTTGTCCCCCAATCTCCCAATTCTTCCTCCTCTATTTATACTTAAAATATATAAGGAAGATGGATTGAAATACTATCTTGCCTCTTCTTATGGTATGCCTGTGTCACATCAACTAAATTTCCTTTCTCTGACTGAAACCAGAGTTTTGAACCCCGGGCCCAAACTCCTGAGCTTCCACATGTCAGGTTCAGTTACTAGCCCCTGTATGCCACATAAAGAAGCATGGTGAAAAGCAGAGAAAGGAAATTTATTACACAGCCCAGAACATGCTGTGGGAAGAGGCAAAGTAAGCACTCAGCCCCTTTTCAGTCATCTTTAGGGTACAGGCATAAACTTTAGCTTCATATGGACAAAGAATTAAGGGCAAGGGATGAAAGGTATGCATAATTAAACAGTCCTAGTCACAGCTGTGTTCCAGTGGTCAAGTGAGACCTAGTTGACCATTATCTCAGTCCTTGTTCTTCTAGGGTTCCAGAGAAGTTATCACTGCCATCACTTGAGGGGAGCAATCTGGTTTGCAAGAGATGTTTGCTCCTACTCCAGGAAGTAGTCTCATCATTATAGGTAATTGTCCTTATTTGGAGGGGTGGTCTGTCCTGCAAGGCTCTGCTGTTCATTCCTTAGTCCCTTGTCATAAAGATGTTATTGATCATTCCTGTCCTTCCTTGATTCCAAGGTGGATGCAGGGCAGAATGACTCAGAGCAAAGGACAGTAGGTGCAAAATGGAGACAGAGATGTCAAGCTTTTCATCAGTATTTTCCAGCAAAAGCAGTTTAAGTAACTCTTACATGACTTCCACCATTACTTGTCTCTTTATTTGGCATACTGAGGTGATGATTTGTTAGTGCACTCTCCCTTATGAAAAAGAAGCTTCTTGGTTTTTCATCAAGTATGAAATATACTTGATGAACATCCCCTTTAGAGGGATATATACTTTCTGAAATTTGCATATTTTCTATCAAAGCTTTTAAATGTATTGCTTAAGCAAATGTCTAAGGGCCTGCTAGAGTTTTCTGTTTCTCTCAAAGACATTTTTATAATGAAGATAAAAGACCTTTGTGTTTCAATTCAGCTTTTTCACTGAAGTCATATTTAAGTTCTTCCTGTAAGTTAGATTGTTCAACAAATTTCTGGAAACTCAGTTCCTGAGATATTGGTAGCCACTGGAAACATTAAGAGTAATACTATATTAATGATAGAAAAAATTTAAAAAATTTTAGCTAGCCAAATTCTTCCTGTGGTAGCTCAAGCTAAATTAAGTGCTTAAAAAAGACATTAACTTTTTTTTTGGTGGTTGTACTGGGGCTTGAACTCTGGCCCTGAAGCTTGCTAGGCAAGCACTCTACCACTTGAGCCACTCTACCAATCCAAGACGTTGCCTTTTTAGCCTTTGGTAAATAGTTTAGCTCAAAATAACTGTGAATGATGCAAAGTAGTGACAGAATAAATAGTTGAAGGGACAATGGCCAGCATATATAAATATAGAGCATTGACTCACAACCTGCTGCCCAGGAAGTCAACCTCGTAAATAAGCCAGACTTGCAGGAAGCCATGTTTTTATCTCTAGTGACAATCCAGGAAGATAAAAATTCCTGTCAGTTGGCCCACATGTGGCCAGGATTTGAGTGATAACTGACAGTTGTGCTGACTTTTGTCTCTGGTTCCAATTTAGAACTAATCAGAGAAAGCCAAATATGTACTCCAGGCCAATCACATAGGATACTTCACTTCTAGTTAACTCACCTACAGTTTCCTCTGGCCAATAGCCTCTACTTAGGGTACATATAAAGTGTTCTCTATTTTCCACCATGAGGCTTTCCCCCTCCTCCACCTGCCATTGAATCTCTGCCAAATCTTAGCACAGACATTGAAACTGGCAATCCATAACCCACTTCCAATAAGTAGTGCTCAAAATGATTTTCGGTGCAAATCAAAGTATAAAGCAAGGTTAAAATGATGGTTGCTTGATTTCTCACTTTCTAAATCATATTTTTTTGACTCTTGCACCCAACTTGTGCTGAAGGTTATCTGTGCCAGGTGCTGATGGTTCACGCCTGTAATCCTAGCTACTCAGGAGGCAGTGATCGGGAGGATCATGGTTCGAAGCCAGCCCCAGCAAATAGTTTGAGACACCCTATCTAGAAAAAACCCATCACAATAAAGGGATGGTGGAGTGGCTCAAGTTGTAGGCCCCGAGTTCAAACCCTAGTACCATAAACACACACATACACACAAAGGTTATTAGTTGTCCACAGCATTTATGTAGATTGCTTGGTTACTATATTCCAACCTGTAATTCTGTCATGATATATCTACTTTATCTCAAATAGCCATCTCAAACTTGCTTAAAACACCCCTTCTTTCTACTTTCTCTCTCCAGTTCTCCTTATTGAAGCAAATGGCAATTCTATTCTTGCAGGTGTCCATGCTGCATACTTCTGTCTTTTTTTCTCATCCCCTATTCAATCTATTAGTAAGTTTATAGGTTCTGCTATCTGAAATATGTGATGTCAGGTGATGTTTCATCCTTCCTTTCCTATTTCTTTTATTTCACTAAAATAAATCTTTGCTAAACTTCTAAAAAAAATTTCTGTCTTTGGAATAACAGCCGAATACCTTACCATAAGGCCCCAAGTCATTACCTAAATCCTTAGCATGTAGGGCCCACTAGGTCCCACATGGCCCTTAGCTCTCCAGTATCATTTCCTTTCCTCTACCACTTGCTTACTCACCTATCTCCATGATCTATTTCTTAGTTTTTTTCTCAGGTGTCATTTTCCACCCTTCACTTGCTTAGTTCACTCTAGCCACACCTGGTAAAACAAACCTGTTTCAGGCCATTTACCTTCCCTGTGCCCAAAGCCTGGAATACTCTTCCCCTAGATACCTTCAGAGTTTTATTTTCTTCAAGTTTATGACCATCTGAATCAGGTCAGAGTGATTTTCTCTGAGTGTTCTATCTGAAAGGGCATCCTTTATCTATTTCTCCTTCCCTTTTTTGTTTCAGCACTAATTACCAACTGACATATTTGTGGAGTGTCTACTTCCTTCCATTAGGATGTAAGTTCAATCAGAGCAGGAATAGGGATTTTTTTTTTCAGTAGTGGAATTTGTACTCAGGGCCTATACCTTGAGTCACCCCACCAGCCCTTTTTTGTGATGGGTTTTTTTCAAGATAAGGTCTCTTGAACTATTTGCCTGGGCTGGCTTTGAGCCACAATCCTCCCGATCTCTGCCTCTTGAGTAGCTATGATTACAGGCATGAGTCATCTGCACCTGGCAAAGGGATAGTTTTGTTCAGTACAGAATCTCTAGTTTTTAATAGACCCTGGCGTATAGTAAGCATGTAAATACAATTAGAATTGCATGACTTTTGCCAAGGGCATAAGAAAATAAAGAGCACTTTAAAAGTCCACTAGTTATATACATAAGACAAAGATGCACATGAAGCTTT